AGGCTGAGAACTTTATGTTCCCGCGAACGACGGCATCCACGACGAGGAGTAGCAGCGAGTTGCCTACGGACATAGACAGGCAAACCACCTCGGATGTGAGGGGCAGGGGCAGCATCTCCTCGGCAAGCCTGGACACGAGCACCAGCGAAGCGGAAACAAAAGAATCCTCCGGTCTGGCGAACTCCAGCATACGGAAGAGAGCACAGGCCGTGGGAAGAAGGAGAAAGGTCGGTGGAGGAGGAAGCGGGCAAGAGGTGCTCCAGCGCCAGTTGTCCACCGGGAGTAGCAGTAGTAATAGCAACCAGCAGCGCTTTCCGAGCGCCCCCATCCAGCCAGAGGACGAGCCAAAGCCGGAGAAGCCACAGCCGCAGCTAAAGATGAAGATGAAGGTGAAGCAGGAGCAGCAAGTGGTGGCCACCAGGAAGAGCAGTCGCACTGCCACCGCCATCGTAACAGCCGCCACTGCCAGCAGTCGTCATCAGCAGCAGCAACTGAGGCAGACCAGCCGGAAATGGGCCAGCAAACTGGAGGATCGGATGGGGGAATCAGAAAAAACAAAGACAAAACAAGTCAAGGAAGTTGAAGCTCCAGCTGAGGCGGAAGAAGACACGGCGGAGTTCGAAGAGGTGCTATTGGAAGACCTCGAGGACGAGTTGGAGCTGGACCTGGAGAGCAGCGTAACCTCTGAGGGCAGTGATGAGGACTACATAGCCACCAAAACTACAACCGTTACAAAAACTCGGACGCCTGCAGATACCAGAGAGCAGAGGGCAGCCAGGCGGCGCTCGAGGCTTACTATAAATCGGAGTGCAGGCGAGGTGGAGCCGGTGGTTGAAGCGAAGACTTCACCCACACGAGCAGCCCCCAAAACGGCGAGCCCCACGAAGACACCCAAGGGCAGGCAGCCAAAGAACAAACCTCCACCGGTGGATCTGATCTTCGACTGCGCCAAGAGCGAGCGGCTGCAGAAGATGCAGTACACCTTCGAGTCCCTGCCCAGCGGAGAGCTCTGGAATCGGGTGTTCCTACGCCAGGATGCGGGCGAAGAGCATTACTATACGTATTACGGTAGCACCCGGTACAGGAAGCTGCCCTACGAAATGGGTCCCATACCCATGGCCCGAACCTTGCCGGCTCACACCTGCTCCCTGTGCCGGGAAGCCAACGAGGGAAAGGCCGAGGTGGAGGCAGCGCCAGAGAAGCCAGAGGAGCAGAAACCCCAGCCGAAGAAGGAAGTGAAAACGGAGGACGATGGCCAGTCCCCGTGCTCGTCCTCCGTGTACAAGCACAAGAAGCTGCACCTCCTCCAGCGTTATCAGCAGGAACAGGAGCAGCTCCAGCAGCAGCAGCAGCTGGAGGGCCATCCCCTAGCCACTGCCATAGCCAAATGTGATAGCAAGGCCAGCACGCCGGAGCTCCTCGAACGGGAGTTCGCCTCGGGTTCTCTGGGGGATCGGGTACAGTTGATAGAGCGGGTTCGCAGCACCTCCAGTTCCAGCTGTAGTAATAGCCAAAAAAGCGGCATCACTTGCCGGAATAAGCAGCTGGCCAGGATTGCCGAGCTGCCGCCCAGAAAATCGCCACGGGAGCATGCTTCCACTCTGGCCCTGGTTAGTTGCATCATCCGCCAGCGGCAGGATTCGCAGAGCAAAACGAACTCCGAGGCGGAAGAGCCGCCTCCTCCTCCGGTGGTTGTCCAGCCGCCCAAGCTGAAGACGCCCTTGAAACAGGAGCCCGTGGTTACGCCGGCATCGCCGAGGACCACTCGGTCCCAGGCCGCCACGCCAGTGGAGGAGCTGCGTTTTGCCACCGAAATCAGCGAGACTGTGAAGCGAATGCGGCGCGGCCAAAACAAGTACGATCATTCCCCGCCAGCACCGGTTCCAGCGACGGCGTCACCCGTTCGGAGTCGTCGCATTCCGCCCTCCGCCGCCAATCAAAGCTACAGCCACAGCTACTCCCGCCGCTTGGAATTTGCCGCATCCACGACGAATCGTAGGGAGGCGAAGGCGTCGCGAAAAAGAAGAGTCAATGCCCAGGGCACCGGTTGTGTTGGGCGTCCGCCACTGCAAACCGTACAACAGCAGCCCGGCGTTCCCGCCTTCCGCGGAGTTCGGAAGCTGCCGAGCAAGAAGGGTCTGCTCGAATACGAGATGGAATCCTCCGCCTTCAAAGCTCTGGATCAGGCCATGCAGTACAGTAATCCCGGTTTCGCTGCCTGGCAGCTGGACAAGTACCTCGAGCTGGCTGGCCGTGAATACGATCTGGAGGTCGAAGAACCGCCAACGTCGTCGTCGGGAGTCGAGTCCCAGGAAAGGCAATCCAACCCGCAGACACCTCCGCCCACCGATTGCTTCACAAGCGAGTTCGACCTCTGCGATCTGCTGATGGGCAGTGCGGGGAGTGGTGACGACGATGAGGATCCCACCAAGGGTGGTCTACCGGGCACTAGTCGGCGGATGAACAGCCTCAACCTGTATTCCAGTTACTACAAAAAGCGGAAGAGCTTGAAGTCCAACCGAACGGGATGGCCGAAGGCTCACAGGCGACGCAACCCTGGAGGATACGGCGGTAATCGTTCCATGCCAGAGGAGAGGATCAACTTCCAGAAAATGGGTCTGGTGGAAATGCGACCCATTAAGCAGGAACCGATGGAAACGGAGGAGGAGCAGACCACCACTACGACAACCACAACGTCGGCCACCCGGGAAAAGCTTCTAAGCAAAGAAGATGAGGACGATGAAGGTGGTGGTGGAAGTCCGGAGGGGGATGAAGGCGGAGGTGGGCAAGGGAAAACGGCCGATGGAAAGCAGAATCCTCGAGAGGGCGCCGTCATGACGCCACCGGCCACCGACGTGGATGAAACGGTCGACAATGAGCCAGAGCCGGAGGCCGACGAAAACGAAAGCCTTCCCGAGGAGGATGAAACCATGGCCGATTCTGTGGATCAACAGCAGGACGATGAGGCGGAAATCGAGGCCACCGATGCCGATGTCGAGGAGGAGGACGAGGAAGAAGAGGAGGATGTGTTCGAAGACGCCTTTGAAGAGCAGGATGCCAGCGGCAAGGTCCAGGAAGATGGAGAGCCGGTCGAGAAGAGAGCCCGAATACCATCGATATCGGTGACTACGCCACCAGAGGATCGCTCCACTCCCGGCAAGAAGCTGCTGCTCACCCTGCACAACGGCCAGCGACTCCAGGCAACGTCCACGCCCAGTTCCGGTCCGGTTCAGAGACGGACGCCCCAGCTGAACGGCAGCTTGGGCAGCTGTATATCGCCAAGCGAGAAACTGGGTGACAATTCGGACATCTTTACCGTCTCCTCAGATGGTCTGGACACTGATCTGGATCTGAGCAACACCCAGGCGGGCGACTCCCACGAACACTGTCCCCATCAGCAGCAGCAGCAGACGACACCAAAGCGCAAGTTCGACATCTCCAAGTATGCACCGCCGAACAATGGCAAGGCGGCCAGCAGTTGTGCGGCGGAAGCGGCCACCGCGGCGGCCAAGTCCCTGGCCATTTCGCAGTTCCTCAAGAAGGAGGTGCGTGTCACCTGCCGGCGGCTGCGCGCACCGTTTCGCAGATTTCGTTACCGTCGCTGAACCATCGCCTCCATCTATCACCATCATTTATCCTCGAATCACACCCACGAGCATTCAGCATCATTCAGCACCAATCACTTTCTAGATTTTAGTGTGTACAGAGACGATGAGAAAATAAGTTTCAGTTTATAGGTATTTTTAGGCCACAATTCCCTCCAAAAATCGATCCAAAAGCGCGCTCCCCCGTCTGTTCCCAATTCAATTTTCGGATTATCGGAAGTGAGGAGATATTATATTTATGATTTTATGTTTAGCCACTGCCATTACTGCAAAGCATTAGGATTTTCTATTCGATGCACAGTTTCCAAAGCGCTTATTTTATTCTTGTTTTTAAAAAATTATAAATCAAATTATACCAACCATTTAAGAGTTAATTTGAAAATGAAGTGGGAACAGATTCCGCCGACCCATCAATCCACTAAAATTTAGCATAATTTAAATTCAAAACAAACAGCGATACGTAAATAAGTCTTAGTTTAATATTAGTTTAGCTCAAATACCCCCATCCCCCCCCAGCAAAAACATTAACTATTTCGGACAATTCCAAAAATCTTCTCATTTTCAAATCCTAGCCATTAAGTAGTAAAGATCCTTTCAAGTTTCCGTTTATCCCTTCAGATGTTATCATTTTCTTAGCCATGTATACTAAATATCAAGTCAACGCTCAAAACAAATTCAAGAAAAAAAGGCAACTAAACTACTATGTAACAGAAATAAATTAAAGTTAATACAAACTAAACTAAAAACAAAACAAAAAAACCAAAAGCAATTGTAAAAATATTAAAACAAAGAGTAAATTATATTATTAAATATTCAATTAAAAATATACGCTAGTTTTTGTGGTTGAAGTGGTACAATTTTTCAATTATTTGTTTTCCAAATTAAAATATTTATTTATGTTATAATATATTTATTAAATTGGCATTAATTTAATTTTAGAATCTAAGACCAAGATTATAAATCTGGGTTTTGTAGTGTCTTGGTTCTCTCCGAAGATAGATACTTCTCCCTCACCTTTCTCCATCCTGCACCTGCCGCCATTTCTCTCATCCCATATATAGTCACCTCCTCCCATTTTCCCTGCTAATGACCGACTCTCTGATCCGATCCCATCCCCATCTAGACTTGCGCAAGCTCATCAAGTATGAGGAGCGTCTGGCGGAGAACGCAAAGGAGGACAATTTCAGCAGCCTGCATAAGCGCAGCACCGCCAGCTCACGTGCCAAACTAAGTGGAGATGGGGACAAGAACAAGGAGAACACTGCCCCCGGTCCCTCGTCGTCATCGGCGTTATTCGTGAAGGAGAAGGAGTTCAAGACTGATCGGGAGGATGCCCGTTCGGGAGCTGGCGCTGACTTTGATGAATTGGCACGTCAGTTTCGGGAGAAGCTACTGATGGAGGCGTCCATTCCACCGGTTTTTCCGCCCAAGCAAAACTCGAGGCAGGCTTCGGCCAAGTCGGAGCCAACCAACCGGCGGCGCAGTCGAAGCGCATCCGGCAGGCAGCCACCTCCATCTAGTGGAGAATCGGATGCCCATGCTGCAGAACGTGCCAGGGCACAGCGACGTCGCCGTAGCAAGTCTCGGGCTCGCAGTGCCAGTCGTGGATCCCCAACAGGTAAGGCTTGGAATTATATTTTTTGGAAATATTGAACTCATCATCCCTTTTCCAAGCAGGACGTCGTAAGAACCGACACACTGATCCAGTGGCACTCTACCAATACTACCAGAAGGAGTGGGCCCACTTCCGTGGCCAAATACCCGGAGAGCTTCCCAAGCTGAGCTCCCGATTCGGAGCCCGCAACAGACAGTATCCGAAATAAAGATTATATATATTCAACGGCAGCTCGATAATCGATAATTCCCATAAAAACACTCATTGATTCCACTTTTCTGTATTTATTTCGATTCATTCTTCAAATTCAAATATACGTTGGAAAATTTCTATGGAAATTGTGGTCTTTTTTAAGGAAATTTCTCTATTTTTTGGTTAGCTGTCAAAATTCGATTTAAAGATTTTTAAAATTCCAAGACTATTTCTGGGCAAGATTTAAGGTTAAGAAGTGCTAGCATGTTGGAGCGACGTCGCAGATCCCAGTTGAGATTGGAACCATTGGTTTCGGTGCCGGCAAGGACTACTATGACGCGACGGACTCGACGTGTCACCTTCAACATCGAAGCCAATGGCCCAGTATCTCCGAGGGGACCCAGACGAAGACGGAGGCGAGAGCTCCTAAATCCGTATGCCATGCCCATGCCAATGATGTACAATCCCATGCAGGCCGTAAATCCCTGGGGTTTCAACTCCAATCCGAATAATGTTGTAAATGGAGGGAACTTCATGGATCGTTTAACGGCGGGTGATTTTGAAGGAAATTATCCATTTGGAGGTCTTGATAGCTTTGATATGTATTCTGGAGAAAGCTTTGATCCTCCCCAAGAGCCACCAATGAGGTCCTTTAAAAAAAACAGCGGCCAACAGGCCATAGACGATCTTAAAGATATTTTGTATGGCTTGGAGACCCATTTGGCAGCGGAGAAGCTAAGAATTTCCGAAGAGAATTCTGCCGATATGGAGTCCGAAAAGGAAGCTCGAGAAGATCACAAACCTACCCAAGATTCTCAGATCTCGGTTCTCACCGAGTTCATGTCCGAAACCGTCGAAAAGCTAAACAATTACTTGGCCCATCACTCTCAGGAGCAGGTTTTGCCCAATAACCACATGGACCGAATGGTAGCACCTCCAGTGCTTCCTCCCATGATGCCACCTTACATCCTTCAGCTGCCCATTCAGCCTGTGATAATACACAACGCTGATTTCTTAAATTCCTCCAACCTCAACCAGTCCGCCTCTGACCTGGAACCCAGCTCTGTGAAAAGACCATATTTGGAGCGACTGCCCTGGTTGAGGAAACCAAGAAGACGTCCTCCAAAAACGACCGATAATGTCCGGACGCAGAATAAGGGGAGCAGCACAGATGACTTGGATACCTTGCCAAAGATTTTGGAGGCTACAAAATCTAAAAAAATGTGTAGTAAGTTAAGAGGTTAAGGTTCAAGCTCCAAACCCATTCATTATTGCTATATATGTTTATTAGATACCTTTGGAACCGCTTGTCAAACATGTAGGGATGAAGGGACCACCATGTGGTGCCCAATGGAATGCTGCCGCAAGTGCTGCGGCGTGGTCAAGAGTCTGGATGTTATACCTAGTGTAAAGAAAATGCTTCCTCCAAATGACCCCCCCAAACAGGATACGTTCAATCCACCCCCAGTAGAGGCACCACCTCCTAGTCAGCTATCATCCGAGGAGGAGGCTGAAGTAGAATACCCCATTAAATCGAGTAAAAAAGCGTTATATCGGCCGGCCAGTGGATCCATCTACGTGGCTGGCACCCCACCAAATTCCAGCCTTCTGACCACCTGTGACTGTCCGAGTGGAGGTGGAAATCTGACCTACTCCTATGTGGAGGAAGAGGAGGAGGAGCATCAGGAAGAAAATCGGTCAGAAGACTCTATCGATGAAGATGATTGGAGTAACAATAGCCGTAAAGAGTTATCCGAGTGGGAAAAGGAGCAACAATACCATTTGCAAATGGAGATGACTCGGAGATCCCAGTTCACCAAGAATAAACGAATTCAGACCGATCCGAGCATATCGGATGACTCTAGCTCTGTGGAAATTATAGCCACCACCGATAAAGCACTTAGTACCTCGGACATAAATAATATAGGCAGAGTCAAGAAGCCAGTGCTGATCTTTAGTGTATGCAAGAGATCCTCGATAAGAAGGCCATATCGGATGAAAAGTGGACACCAATCGAGAGCCAATAAGGTGCAGTTTGAGAAAATCCTTCAGACCGAGGGAGTTCAGGTTGGCCCTGAGATGAGATCCTTTGGCACAAATCCGATTAGACTACGAAGCAAAGAATCATCTTCAAAGAAGAACCAGAATCCTCGAAAAAGTTCGACCAGTAGCGACTACACTCCCTTTCTGTTCAAGGATAATAATACCAGAAATCGAGGGCAGGAGGGATCTAGAAATCGATCTTCAAGTCACAAGTCCAGGCTAGACTATTCCACTTTTTGGCAGGATGAGTAATAATAGCTGCCTCTTTTCTAGATTTCTAGAAAAAAAACATAACATCCTTTGCTTGAGCTGCCAAAGCTTTATTTGGGATAATTTTTTCAAAATTTTAGCTTCCCAGATCCATACAGGGACCCCCAAAAACGGGGGCTTGGGGAACAGAGTCTTCAGGGATGTTGGAGGAGGTCCTGCCGAAGTATGTTGTGTGACGACGACAACGTTGTTAAGAAACAAATACTCTGCCGCTGCGGAAACTGTTGCCTTCGAGACCCCGACACTAAGCCCTGGTTAACCTTTCCTCCGTCTTTAATGATGGCCGATCCCCACAAGGACAAGAGCGCCGAAGACCCGGCAGGTATCAGTCGTCGCAACTCCTCCCGCACCATTCAGTCAATGGAGAGTGTGTACACCATTTCGGAATCTCATCCGGGCGAATCCTATCAAACGAGGAACTACGATGACACCGACGCGCATGCCTTCGATGCCCAGCGCTCCGTTAGCCCGGGTGAGCTGCTCGGGGCAGACCATGTTTCGACTGCACCATCAGCAGCACCAGGGGCCCAACCGCCTCAGGCACCGACCCAGCCCACCATCCTGCTGATAGTCGTCAAGTAAGCATGTCCTTTCCACACTTCCTGACTCACTAATACTTTATTGTTGGTAATTCAGCAAGCCAGAACCACCGTATCCGGGAAGAGGTTATCCAGGTCCTGGTGGATACAGGGGCTATCCTGGTCAGGACGGATATCCTAACAGGTAGGAGTACTGGTTCTTTGCCTTTTTCTTTCCTTAAATCTCTATCTTTTAAGTTATTACCAACCACCGCCTAGAAACGGAGTAAGAAGATGTCCTCCAGGACCTGCCTACCCACAAAACCCCGTTCGCTAGTAAGGAAATAATAAAAATTTTATATAATTTGAATTATAGATGTATTTCCTCCAGCAATGATCGCGTTCCTAACCAAAATCGTAAGAAAATCCGCAGTGATGGTTATCGAAATGGGGGAAATGGGTAAGGTACCAAAAGTCCTTAGGTATCCTTAATTTCATAACTTATTTCCTGATAAAGGTTCCAAGACGATCGAAGAGCATTTCCCAGAGAGTAAGCTTAATTTTAATTCAAAAAGAAACCTTTAAAAACTAAATAGTATTTCAGGAATGTAAGCTCGAACCGCAGACGCGTATGTCGATGTGACAAGGGGAATCAGAATCCTGTCGATAAGGATGGAACGGAGGGTCAGGGTGAAACTTGTAACTGCGTAAGTGATGAGGATTATTCAATGCAAAGTAATGAGCCACATCCCAGAGTCTGCGAGTGCACTGATTCGGAGGATGGACATCATGGAGGACACGGAGAATTCGGGGGCACGCCACCAAATACGATGAATGATGGGATGAGTAACAATGAGGGAGATGAGGACGGGGTGCGATGGAATCCCAACATTCAGCGGTATCAGGATCAAAGGAATGTGGTTGTAGCTGATAAGAATAAGACGGCATATCGGTGTATTACAGTAAGTATAATTCATATTAATTAATTGACTTTTTTTAAACCTTTTTTTATTTTAAATATTCAGGTGCCCATCTGCATTACGACTGGGAAGCAAGGATGCTGCCAGTGCTGCAAGTGTGCCGTCGCTCGAAACCCTAACGAGGATGATGTCTACGAGGAAAAGGAGTGCACCTGCAATCCCCAGGGCAAGTGCAATTGTGTGAAAGACGATGGACTTGGGGAGGAGTTCGGCTGCGAGTGCGATCTCACCAACCTGGAGCGCCTCCTGCGCGAACTGCTCCCCGATTCCTATTGCAAGTGCTTCCTGAGGAAGCGACGTCGCAGGCGCAGGAAGAAATGGGCTCCCAAGAAGTTCTATGATCGGTTTGCCAGTCCCCCGTTTGTCATAAATCCCATACCCAAATGCAATCCTTGTTGCTATCCTTCGTGCTCTCCTGGAAACTGCTTCCCATGTTTCAACAATTGTGGATGGTAATTCGGAATATGTGTTTGGGGCTTAAGGAGTCTGTTGATGGCTGAAGCCCTTCCAGAATCCAGGAAAGACTTTAGCGTCTCAGCCGAGACATCCAGCGAGAGAATCCAAAAAGAACCAAATCCATTATCAAGGACCTATCTATCCCCAAAACTTTAACTTCGAAATCTACTCTAATAATCCCTGATAGACTTTACACTTCTTGTTGAAATTAAAAATAATGAAAATAACCTAAGGCCCATAATAATTAACATTCACTTTGAAATAAATATGATAGGCTTTCTATAACCTGTCAAAATTACACCGAAATGTTACTGAGCCTCTGAGCTGCCTCGGCTGTTCCCACTGCTTTAAGATGACTGGCCTGGCCAGAAGACGTCGCACCGCCCAACAAATCTTTCTGCGAAGAGCTCTGAGCAGGAGCATTGGCAGGAGCCATGATGCCATCGCGTTTCCGGATTGCAGGGACCGAGAAAACGGTGGCATCATGGTGCTGCCATCGCTTTCCAGAGATCCCCTACTGGTCAAGGCTATGCAACGCAGCCAGGAGAGGTCGTCGTCGCGGGCTGTGAAGAAGCTGCAAAGGGTTCTGGCCACCAATCCCTTTAAGACTCCTACGGAGAGGAAAAAAGCTGGGAAAATTCCTGCGTTAAAGGTCCTGCGCAATGATGCATGGAGGATCAACAAGCCACAAGGTGGGTTGGACGAAATTTATGGATCAGCTAACTTCTAAACACTACTATTTTTTTAGAAGACTCTCTTAACATAAGTGACCGATCTGGCCATAGTCTGAAGCAGAGCATTCGCTCCAAAGGCAGCACCCGATCTCGTCACAGCTCCTCCACCTACCCGTCTAGCTGGAAACTGGATGTGAGTCGATCGAAGGACAAATCAAATCTAAACTGTAAAGGATCCCTGGAGGAAGTGAGCAAGTGTGCTTGCCTCAACCGCACTCCTTACGATCACCAGCTGAACAAGCCCCTGAAGTCGAACAACTCCTGTCAGTGCACTCTTAAGAAGAAGAGAGCCCCTCCAAAGGCCAAGAAGATTAAAGTTGTATCGGTGGCTCAGACTCAGACGTTTAGAGATTCTTCAAGCGAACAGGAAGACCCTCTGCCCTTGTTAAGAAAGAAGTTTCGAAAAAGAAGCTCCAGCAGGACCAGCCAGAAAAGCGGACGACTCTTGAAGTCTTGGAAGAGAGCCTACAGCGGTGAGGACGTGTGTCAGGATCCATCTTCTGCATGTAAGACCGGATGTCCTGGTTCACAGAAATTCGAAAACTATGGCGGCTATACCCCGTCGGACACTGAAGATGAAATGGATAACGATTGCGACTATGAATGCGATAGGCCCTCCGAACATCTGGACAAAATCGATAAGATTAGCAAGCCCCCGCCATTGAAGACAAAGTGGAACCTTCAAATTCCCAGTAATACGGAAATGGAATACTATATGTCCCAGACCAGTCGTGGCAACACATACGACAAGCCCTGTGATGAGCCCAGTTCTTCAAAGGTGGATGACAATCAGTCCTCTGAGGATTCGGAGACGGATGAAATGGACTTCAGGGCAGATGACTCCCCGTTTCGAAAAGAAAAATGTGAGTCGGAAAAGGAGACTCCCAAGATTAAAGGAAGCTTCTTGTTGGTAAATTCTAATTATGTGAGAAGTCAAGGATCAAGGAGTGGGAATGAAGGCGAGAATTTTCAAGAACCTTTCGACTCGAGGCCACCACGTAATAGATCAGGTATCTGCGATAACCCCAGTTGTCCGTCGCGAAGATCTTATGAAAATTATAGCGAACAAGCTAGACAATATCGGAGTGGTAATGGTATGCCAATGGGATCTGTGGAGTCCTGGGGCCACATGTCCCAGCGCAGTCGGCAAAGGCAGTTTTACGATGAAAGGAATCCTTCTGTTGATAGGAAGTACTGCCCGAATCCCAATTGTCCCTTTAATGTAGAACAACGAGAAATGCAAAGGCAAGACTACGAAGGGAGATCAAGAAATCAAATATACTCACCTAGAGGTGCAGATGACTTCTGTGGCAATCCTGAATGTCCTTTCATTTCAACAAGAAGTCGACGGTACTTGAGCGTTGACAATGTTAGCCAACTTGCGGAAAACGATGGCCGGAGCAGTAGAGACACAAGATGGAGAGATTCAGATTACATGGACAATGGCTACTCCTCTACAAAGGTTCAGAGTGAATGTCCATGCTTGAACTCCATGTCCAATGATGGTCCAATGTCTCCCGGGAAGACTGAAAAATTAGGTAATATTATTTTCCACCAAACACAATATTACTTTAAGTAATCCCCATTATTTGTAGTACAGATGGCAACTCAAAACAATATTCTGGCAAACCCAAAACTCGACTGTCTGTGGATGGGATGGGAGCTGCTCGGGGTAATGATAGAGCCAAAAGGAACGGAAGTCCCCGACGATCTAGACCCAGTAGCGTGGATAAAAAGTCGAACAAACGTGGAATGGAAGCAAAGGCCCAAAACTCCCAGCTTCGGGTAACGTCGCCAAAGAAGTCTACTTCTCGTCGAAAGGCGGATAGCGATTCAGAGCTGCTCGATTTAAGTGAGGCTCCTTGTGGAAAAGAAGACTGTGACTTTGCCTGCATACCCTGTCAATCCAAGTTGGGTAAGCCTAAACCTACCAAAAGTAGTCCAAAGAACGGAGGAAAAATCCCGGCCGTTTATCCAAAGAAAAAAAGTACCTCAAGCTCACGACGGTCTAGTCGAAGCCGAGAAGCCAAAAAACCACAAACGGAGTATACCCCACCGAACGATAGTCCCACGGAAATGGACTACGAAAATATGGATGATGATGTGGTACACCCTCATTGTGATGTGGCTAAGATAATCGACATCCTTCAAAAGACTGTGGCTGGTCTGGAGATGGAAATAAATAAGAGGCAGGGCTTCGAAAGTACCACCAGTTTAGGTCAACAGCAACGAAACCCAGTATCGCGACAACCGTCTAACCATCAAGGTCCAGTCCCTGTAAACTACCACCAGAGCTTAGGTCAACAGCAACAAAACCCTGTATCCCGACAACCGTCTTACCATCAAGGTCCAGTCCCCGTAAACTACCAACAGAGTTTAGGTCAACAGCAACAAAACCCAGTATCGCGACAACCGTCTAACCACCAAGGTCCAGTCCCCGTAAACTATCAACAGAGCTTTTCCGTGCCACAAGGAAATCCCTATCCACCGCAATATATCTGTGCTACGACCTGCGCCTATAGTGCTCCAAATCCGTACCAGCAAGGTCAATACAATCAACCAAACCAGTATCCAGCATTCAATTATGGACCACCTCCCGGTGGACCTCTTCCAGGTCCAGGTGGCTTTCAACCGATTGGATATCCCGATGGTTCTGGTCCAGAACCTCAAATGTATCCCAATACAGACATTGGTTATAAGCGACCTGGAGGCCAAGCCCAAAATAATGTACAAATTCAAAGTAGATCCTTTGAAAACCCTTATGGGAGAAACAATATGGGAAGTAGACCTCCTCCTCCGAATGGATCTCCGGTTATGTATGAGCCCATTCAAGCGTGTTCTCCTCAATGTTATTTAGAACCCAGGGCTCTAAACAGACAAGACATAAATCCCGAACCAGGACGTCCAAGATGGTACGGATCTCAATATAAAGAAGAAAGTAATTTTCCTTCCGAACCGGACCGTCAAAAATTATACTGGCCTTCAAATAATCAACGTACGGATCAGATATGTGATATTCCTTCTTGTCCGGAACGTCAGAAATTATACTGGTCTCTAAATAACCAACGTACGGATCAACCGGAACGACAACAATTATACAGATCTCCACCGGAAGACTATGTCCCGACTCAACCATACATTGTAGAACCTCAAATCTATCCCAATAGAGACTTTAGTTATAACCGACCTGGAGGCCAAGTCCAGAATAATCAACCAAATCAAGGTATATCGTTTGAAAACCCCAATAGAAGTTATGATGTCCGAACTAATAACAATTTTGGAAGTCCCCCAGGTTATTATGAGCCCATTCAAGCTTGTTCTACCCCTTGTTCTCCAGAGGTCAGGTCTCCATTCAAACAAGAAATAATCCCCGAACCAGAACCTACAACATCGTACGGATCTCAACATGAAAGTAATGTTACCCCTGATCCGGAACTTCAAAACTTATACAGATCTCCCAGCAAGCAACAAACAGATCAGACCTGTAAGGATTCCTCTTGTCAGAAAAGTCAAAAATTATACAGGTCCCCCAATAACAAAGTTATAGGTAAAGTATGTGATGTTCCCTCTTGCCCGGCACGTCAGAAGTTACAGGGGGCCTTAAAAAAAAAGCTCAAAACTGAAAACGATGAAAACCAAATCGGTCAAGAGGATTTTAATGAAGAACAAAATTATAAATCCCAAGAAAACCAAGCCAGCGAGGCCAGTCTATGTAGTCCTATTTGTTATTCCACTTTTAAAAAAGAGGTTAGGTATCAAGAAGGCGGTGGTTCCAGTGATTATGAGCCTTTCAATCAGGATGAAAAAGGTGGTGCTCTTTCCAAAGGAAAGAGATCTCTTTCTAAATCTGAGTCTGATGATACGGGTGGCGATGAAGGTTCTTCCAGAAGGGATCTATCTGTGCAATTTTGCAGTAGTATTAAGCACGACAAGAAATCAAAGAAAAAGCTTAGCCTAACACAGCGACTCAGTAAACTAACTATTAGAAATTGGAGCTATAAAAAGTTTGTTGATGGAGGCTTAAATCGAGAAAGAGATTTTAAAGAAGACTCGAAATCTCCCAAGCCATTTAAACCCGCAACCTATGAACTGTTTACATCAAAGCCGAATAAGGATCGAGAACATGTCAGGGCAAAATCCCCAACAAAAAGAGTACCTTTCGAAAATAGAAAACCGTCCATAAAATCATCCCATAATATGCTAACAAAACCCTCCTATAGTGGCCATTCCTTTAATAGTAGGAGTGCGGATTTTTCCCGTGAAGATGGGCCAAAAATCTTGAAAAGTCGGGCTCGTCAGGGAAGTGGAAGAGCTGATGTTTTTTCCAGCGAGAGCAGTGGTGATGACCAATTGGATGACAAAGTTTCAGAAGAAATCCAGCTTAAATGTAATGACTTCCTTCGCTTCAAAAGAAAGTCTATAACCAATTCGGATCAGTTTATTCCCCTACTGCGTGATCGTCAAGCTATTGCCAAGTTTTATAGACCTTTTAAATCGGATTATAGACCAGAATTCGAAAAAAAGTTAGTCAAAAGAAAGGTCCGCTCATACATGCCACTGGCATCCGACCGTATCCGACCTTGCGAACGATTTAAGAAGGATACCGAATATCCGATTCGTAAAAATGAAACAGTATGCCCCAAGTATATGGGTATCCATCCAGCGATTTCTCGTAAGACCCGTCACAATCCTCACATGACTCTATCGCAATTAAATAGTTATGAAATGAATATAATGGACAATTTTGAAAAGTACAAGGCGGAAAGAAATGAACCCATGTCCTGCTATTGCAAGACACCAACTAAGACAGAGCCAGAAGAGAACGGGGAAACTACTCCCAGTGATTGCACTTGTGAGGAGGAAGTGGTATATGTTCCCTGCCATTGCAAGCCTGAGAAGGAGAAGTCAAAGGTTTCCCTTTTCAAATGTTGTCGAAGGAATAAATCGCCCAAGCCACCAAAAATCAAGGAACCAAAGAAAAAGGAGTCGAAAGTCAAAATTAAGGAACCCAAAAAGCCGAAGTCCTCTTCAAGTGGATTTTTATGTTTCAAAAAGAGAGAGACAAAGCCCCCGAAGGAAAAGAAATCAAAGCCATCAACCAGTTCCATAGAATCTACTAAGGAAAATGAACCTGAGAAAGAGAAGCCTGAAAAACTACCCAAAGGGAGAACCTCCTCCAAGTCTAGTGGGTTCTTTTCCTGTAAAAGGAAGGAACAAGAGCCTAAGCCGGCAAAACCATCAAAGGAGCCCAATCCACCGAAGGAGCCCAAGCCACCTAAAGAGAAAACCTCCTCCAAGTCCAGTGGGTTTCTTTCCTGTAAAAGGAAGGAGCCTAAGCCACCAAAGGAGCCCAAACCGCCTAAACCACAAAAGGAGCCCAAGCCACCTAAAGAGAAAACCTCCTCCAAGTCTAGTGGGTTCTTTTCCTGTAAAAGGAAGGAAAAAGAGCCTAAGCCGCCAAAGGAGCCCAATCCGCCCAAACCACAAAAGGAGCCCAAGCCACCCAAAGAGAAAACCTCCTCCAAGTCTAGTGGGTTATTTTCCTGTAAAAGGAAGGAAAAAGAGCCTAAGCCGCCAAAGGAGCCCAAACCGCCTAAACCACTAAAGGAGCCCAAGCCACCCCAAGAGAAAACCTCCTCCAAGTCTAGTGGGTTCTTTTTCTGTAGAAGGAAGGAAAAGGAGCCTAAGCCGCCGAAACCACCAAAGGAGTCTGAACCGCCGAAGGAGCCAAAACCACCAAAAGAAAATGATCTTCGAAAAGAAAGAGTATACTGTGAATTTTGGAAGAAAAAGGAAAAGAAAGATGAGCCACAGGAGGAGCTAGGGTCTTTGGAATCAGAGCCTAGACCCACGTGTTATTGTACAACAGATCGTCAGATCAGACCAACGTCAGATCAGGATAGAGAACCAAGAATGTCCTGCCGTTGTGGGAAATGTCCTCAACAAAAGGAAGAGGATCCACAGGTAGAGATAGGGTCTTTGGAGTCAGAGCCTCGACCCAAGTGTTACTGCGCAAAAACCAAAACAAATAGGAGGCAATCACCAACATCAGATCAGTATGAAGAACCGAGAATGTCCTGCCGTTGTGGGAAAACTCCCCTACAATCTTCCGCCAACAACAACCAGGAGGATACTCCATGTCAATGTGCCTGTAAGAACCAAGAAGATTCCGAACCTGATCCTGCAGAAAAGCTCAAGAAGAACCAGGAACAGCCTAGACGATCATCACAGCCGACAGTGAAGTTCACACTACCTTGTGACACCTGCGACCAAGAGGATAACGAAGTCAAAGTCCTGTACGACTCCAGTAACTGCTTTCCCCATGAAACTGGCAGTTGTACAGATTCCATTGGTCTGTACTATCAAAGGGGTGATCTTTCCGATACCAGCCGTTCAGATGTGAGACCTCGGGCCTGCTACCGGCCAAATCCTAGGGACCAGGCAGCCAGATGCTGGCGACGTAACGGCTTAAATATATTCTATAAAATTGTGCGGTAACTATGATTGAGAATCTTAAACGAAATCCTATTAAGATTTGCTTAAGTTTCTAATCATAAATGCCCAAAGTCGGTTAGACACATTGAAAATTGGATTAAAATCAAAATAAATTTAAGATTTAAGTTTTTTGTTTAATTTTTATAAGTTTAAAGGGCTAATGTAGTAAAAGGGCTAAACTAAATATAGTAGTTTCTTATTAACAACTTTTTTTATTAAAATTTAAAATTTGAAAAATAGTATTTTTTCTGTTAAATCTAGTATATACCAAACCCGTACCACTTTAATACGGTCACACTAATGTATCTCTTTGGCTCTTCCTTCTCTTTGACGATCGCATCTATTTTATTTCCATCTCTAGTATTCATCTGTTGCTTCAACTTCTCGCGAGTTTATTTTTGTTTTCCTCTACGGTTTTGTGTTTTTCTTTATTTTTAAAAATACTATAAACCAATTCAAGGATTTCCAAGAACAGGAAACATCGGACAAAGGCTTAACACAATGGTGTGAAGGGTGGGACAAACTATAAGGAGGAGGATCGGAACTCCAAAAAATAAAGGAGCGGCATTGGAGTTTTCAAGTCTCCATTTAAGTTTACTATTAAGTCTTTAAAATTGTCGCAAATGTAAGTATTAAAGTCTTAAATATGGTAATATAATTCATAAAATTTAATGTATATGTAGGAAAAATATGGAACTGTTACTACTTTGCATCGTTGTATTCATCGGAGGCACTGCCTCAAGTTTGGCCAAATTTAGTAGCACAACGCCGGCAAGCGTGAAAAAATCGGACGTGGAGCTGGAGGCCATTAATGGTACCCTCAATTTCCGCCTCTACGCCAAACAGGGAAAAGACGACAAGCCCTGGTTTGATGGCCTCGATAGCAGGCAAATCCAGTGCGTCCGGCGAGCTCGCTGCTATGCCACCACCAACCTCACCAACACATGCTTCGGCTCCAAGTTCCCACACGAGATGAGCAGCCTCGATCTCACCGACTTCCACACCGAGAAGGAGCTCAACGATAAGCTGAACGACTACCAAGCCCTCAAGCATGTACCCAAGTGTTGGGCTGCGATTCAGGTGAGGAATTGTAATGGATCTTAATGAGCTACTGCTCGTTTTTCTGATTTTTAACCTTGGGATGTTTCGATATGGCTAAATAGATGGATTGAATATAGCAATAGAAATTGCTAATTGAATTCGTTTCTGTATTCTGTATGCAGTTTAGGTTCAGAAACATATACAACAATTTGTAGATTTCTAACTCTTGAATTTCTTTAAACTCCTAAAGGCAAACCTTTTTCGGATTAACTAAAAGTTATCCTCATCTTTTACAGCCCTTTTTGTGCGCCGTCTTTAAACCAAAGTGCGAGAATATCAACGGCCAGGACATGGTCTACCTGCCCTCCTACGAAATGTGCCGGATGACCCTGGAACCGTGTCGTATTTTGTACAACACCACATTTTTCCCGAAATTCCTGCGCTGCAATGAAACGCTATTTCCAGCGAAATGCACAAATGGAGCGCGAGACATGAAATTCAATGTAACCGGCCAGTGTTTAAGTCCTTTGGTGCCGACTGATACGGCTGCCAGCTACTATCCTGGCATCGAAGGCTGCGGAGTGAGGTGCAAGGATCCACTGTACACGGACGATGAGCATCGCCAGATCCATAAGTTGATTGCTTGGGCAGGTAGCCTGTGCCTGCTGTCCAATCTCTTCGTGGTGGCTACGTTTATTATTGATTGGAAGAATGCCAACAAGTATCCGGCTGTTATTGTTTTCTACATTAATCTGTGTTTTCTGATAGCTTGTGTTGGGTAAGTTATCATTTTAAATAGTAACTATTTTGGAAATTCATTTAAAAAATTTCTTAAACTTTAAGATGGCTCCTGCAATTCACTTCTGGATCGCGCGAGGACATTGTATGTCGCAAGGACGGAACCCTGCGTCATTCAGAGCCCACAACAGGCGAGAATCTCTCCTGCATCGCGATCTTTGTGCTGGTTTACTACTTTCTCACAGCGGGAATGGTGTGGTTCGTCTTTCTCACCTACGCCTGGCACTGGCGGGCAATGGGTCATGTGCAAGATCGGATCGACAAGAAGGGCTCGTACTTTCACCTGGTGGCCTGGTCACTGCCATTAGTGCTAACGATTACCACGATGGCGTTCAGCGAGGTGGACGGAAACAGTATCGTTGGCATCTGCTTCGTCGGCTACATAAATCATTCGATGAGAGCGGGCCTGCTACTGGGACCTCTTTGTGGTGTAATCCTCATTGGTGGTTACTTCATCACCCGGGGCATGGTAATGCTCTTTGGACTGAAGCACTTTGCCAACGATATTAAATCCACATCGGCCAGCAACAAGATCCATTTGATAATCATGCGAATGGGAGTATGCGCTCTGCTCACTTTGGTTTTCATTCTGGTTGCCATTGCCTGTCATGTCACGGAGTTCCGGCATGCCAAAGAATGGTCACTCAGCTTCAGAGAGTTTATAATGTAAGTAGGGCTTTTAAAACTCTTGAAATTTTCCTAAATAACTCAATTTCTTTGTGCAGCTGCAAAATATCGTCCGTTTTCGAGGATAAAAGCACTTGTCTCATCCAAAATCGTCCTAGTGTGGGCATCCTGCAGTTGCATTTACTCTGCCTGTTTAGCTCTGGCATTGTAATGTCCACCTGGTGCTGGACACCCTCATCCATTGAGACTTGGAAGCGGTATATAAGAAAGTATGTATATAAAATGATACCCTTCATTACGTGTACTATTTTATTAATAATAAATAATGCCACAGAAAGTACGGAAAGGAGGTCGTGGAGGAGGTTAAAATGCCAAAGCACAAGGTTATTGCCCAGACCTGGGCCAAACGAAAGGACTTTGAGGACAAAGGTCGACTCTCCATAACTCTTTACAACACCCATACCGATCCCGTGGGTCTTAACTTCGATGTCAATGATTTGAACTCCTCGGAAACCAATGAGATCAGCTCCACGTGGGTGCACTACCTGCCCCAGTGTGTTAAACGTCGCATGGCATTGACCGGGGCTGCCACGGCGAACTCCTCCAGTCAAGGACCTCGCAAGAACTCATTGGACTCGGAGATTAGTGTGAGCGTCAGGCATGTATCGGTGGAATCCAGACGGAACTCTGTGGACTCTCAAGTTTCGGTGAAAATAGCCGAAATGAAAACCAAAGTGGCATCCAGATCGCGTGGAAAGCATGGCAGTTCATCGGGTAGTAAGAGAAATCAGCGGAGAAGGGATTACATAGCAGCCGCTACTGGAAGGAGTAGCCGGCGACGGGAGAGCAGTACATCGGTAGAGTCCCAAGTAATTGCCCTCAAGAAGACCACCTATCCGAATGCTAGTCACAAAGTTGGCGTGTTTGCCCATCACAGCTCTAAGAAGCAGCACAACTATACCTCCGGTTCCATGAAACGGAGAACTGCAAACGCCGGCCTTGATCCCTCCATCCTAAATGAGTTTCTGCAGAAGAATGGAAATTTCATCATTCCCTTCCTTCAAAACCAGGACATGAGCTCCAGTTCAGAGGGCGAGAACTCACATGCGTCCCTCAAGATCCAGGATCTCAATGTGGTTGTCAAGCAAGAGGAGATCAGCGAGGATGAGGATGACCAAGATGGACCACAGATCGTGGAGCTGCCAAATAGCAAGCAGGTGGCATTGGAAAATTTCATAAAGAACATGAAAAAGTCCAATGAATCCAATGGCAACCGTCATTCAAGAAACTCCACACGAAGTCGCCAGTCCCGAAAGTCGCGAAAGAGCCATCCCAAGACTAGCACTGCCCTGGAAGCTCTAGACTATAAGAGAGACTATATAAAGAGTCGTTCCAATGATTCCTTGAGCTTGTCTTCGGTAGAACTAGATGTCGCCTTGGATGGGGGCAGCCTGTTAAATAGCTCCTATTCCGGCATGTCAATGGGCAAGCCGCATAGCCGCAACAGCAAGACCAGTTGTGACGTGGGCATCCAGGCCAATCCCTTCGAACTAGTACCCGCCTACGGTGACGAGGAGCTTCAGCAGGCGATGCGACTTCTAAATGCGGCCAGCAGGCAACGAAACGAGGCAGCCAATGAAGACTGTGGCGGCACAGAGTTACAGTCCCTCTTGGGACATTCGAGACATCACAGAGAGCCCACTTTTATGAGCGAGTCCGACAAGCTCAAGATGTTGCTGCTGCCCTCAAAATAGACTCAACAACGAAATACTCCGGATGCATTTACTTAAGTTTCTGAAACTCAAATAGAAGGTCCTTTAAAGCTGTTTCTAAGAATGAAAAGTAGCTGTTCTGGTTTAGGATTCCCGTGCATTTATTATTCTAAAAAAAAACAATGCATTTCATGAAAAGTACAAACTACTTTTTGTAACACCAAAGTTCAAAGATATTACTACAGTTTACACTCTATAGGGAAATCCCATTCCTATTTTCAAATATGGCTTCATTTGTCTTTTGAACCCTTCTGTGAAAACAAAGAAATTTGATAGTTTTTTTTTTAGAAATGAGATATTTTATTTACTTAAATATTAAAGAAAAGTGATATTTGATTAGTTTCATGGAATCAAAAGTGTCAAGTCCAGCTTACTCGTTCCTATCCAAAGTTTTTAAACCAGAACAGCAACTACTATCTGCTAAGTTAGATATATAGTTATATAGTTTACAAGGACTATAAGTTTCCCCTTAATTGTTTTATTGAGCAAGTAAGCAAAACTACGTTACGACGGCTACGAATTACAAATACTCATAGGTAATAGACCGCGAATGATATTTTATAATTTGCAAAAAATATCCCCCCATTTAGTTTGTAATCTCCATGTGTATCTGTGTGACTGTTTCCTTAAATTATAGACTCTAAGAATATACAAAGTGTACGACGGTTTATAGCCTCTCTGGCCATATATGGAGATCGTACCTCGAAAAGTGCCTACAAGTTTACAAAATATCTCATATTTTTTGTGTAACTAATAAACTGATTTTAAATCCCTCAACCCTGTTTGACCTTTTTCTCCTCAAGCAGCTTATGTTCCGGTTTCCAGACTATATTGTTAACGAACTCGCCCAAAAAGTAACACACCAGGTTGAAGCCCACGAGAAGCGATAAGAACAGGTAGCGCAATGGCAGGGGCAGCACCTCAAGAATGGGATAGACCCACTCGCCGCTAAAGTAACGCACTATGTGCAGCCAAATGATGTAGAGAATTATAAAGGCCATGTTTCCAGTGACTCCTGCCAGGCGACTCGGATAGCGACGGAAGCAGGTAAACAGATCCATGATGGCCAAGAGGGCAACGTTGGTGTGCACAACGTGATTCAGCCAGCTGAGGGAAGAATGAGAAAATTACAGGTAAATGTTAACACTTTCTTATAAAGTCTGAGGAATGCTCAGGGGTGATCTTTAAAATTAAATATTTGAGTTCCTAGTGGAACCTGTTTTAAAGTAAACAAAAAACCTTAAACTTTAAAGTCTAAATAAATTAAAACTACAATAATGATAGCTAATCAGATATAAAAAGCTAGTAAACTATCTATAAAATACATAAATAATATAGTTTAAAAATATAAATATAATCAAATATCTTTAAAAATAAATAAAATTTATTAAATTTCTTAAGTAAATATTCCGTGTTCATTGATTAGAATCTCTACTGTACACTATCTAACTGCCACGTAAAGCCACAAAATCGTAAAACCTTTGAACTTGCCTGGGGAAAATAGCATCCAATGCCGAGGGAAAGATGAGCTCACGATCCCAGATGTAGATGACCCAGAACGACAGGCACACATTGTGAGCCACCGGAAAGGCAAAGGCAGCGAATATATAGTCCCTGATGGATCTCAACTTGGATGTGGACTTCAGGGAGACGGCATTGCTACCAAAAATATCATTCAACAGGGCCAACGAATGGTAAATGGCCTGCAGAATGACGTCCAGGAAGGTGAGATACTTGAACTTGCCACCCCAGCGTGCCTTCAGTTCATCCTCGTCGCGCAGATCCGAGGGCCAGTGAACCCGGAAATAGTGATAGTACATCCCATACCAGAACTGAGCCGCCGCCAGCAGGTGCACCAAAAATCTCAGGTAGCTGAAGGCACCGCTAGTGTAGGCATCGTTCCACGTGTCCAGCTGATCATTTGTGGCCTTTTCCGCTTGCTTGGCCGCCTGGAACTCTCGCACCTGCTTCCTCATCTTGGCCATGTTTTCTTCCCGGCAAAAAGTTTATATATATTGGAGAACGACAACACGCCGCCGGAACAAATCAAAACAAATAAATGCCAAGCGAACAGCTGATTTTATTGGAGGGCCTCCAAACGAGTTGGTAGCTCCAAAAAGTTGGGGCTGCTGGAAAATGGGAGTTGGCAGCTTTGCTTATATTTTAACTTCAAATTCAAATAGACTTCAAATAGACTTCAAGGTTCATCAAATAGACTTTTTAGTGAATAAACAATATAACTTTAAAAATCCATTTTATTTTAAAAACTTTTTAATAAAACTATGATGGGCTTAGTGAGCCAGGATAGAAATATCAGTAGTGATTGAGTTTCTTTATATTGAAAAATTTTTTTAAAGCTTCAAACTTTAAAATTTAAAGTTTAAAAGTTTGTCAAAAGATGAAAGCTTATCCTGAAAAGTTTTAAAAAATAGTATATATGTACTACAATTGAAACAAAAAGGATTTTAAACCTATGGTATAATAGAGGTATAAGGTATAAATCTATTAAATTAGTAAATGTTTAACCGGGTAGTAATTTATCTATTTGATAAAAAAACTATTATTTATATGTTTTTAACTGGGTATTCTCTATAATAAAAATACTTACTTACTTATTTTTTTCTTTAAAAAATAATAAACAGTTTGAAGTTGTTTAAACCGAAGTTTGTTTTTATTACGATACTAGAATTGAATTACAGATTGTAACGCAGGTATTCAAAGATTGTGTGGTATGTGCCTTGTGATATGAGGTTGTTTGCAATCGAGAAGGCGATCTCTCAACTTTTCTAATAAACCGAATGTAAACTACGGCTATAATCTCAAGTACAATGCAATTTGTATTAAGAATAGAATGAATATCATTAGCAAACTGTATTCTCTATTACGTTTAAAGACTTTCACAATTCATTAAGGTATTTAAAATATATATTGGCGAATTAATCAAAAGGTATGCTGCAGTTATTAGCTTCCTCATCATCTCTCTCTAGATTTTATTTTTGGAAATATTTTTAAATACCCAAAATTAGTAAAAACACAAATATAGTCCCATCTAACTTATGTGAATTTAAAAACCGCAGCAGGTCCTTTCTTTCCTTCATTTTCTTCTTGTATATTGTGACTAATTAAACGCGACTACACGGAACAGAAACGGGTCACAGCCTAATCTTAGTTGGTTTTGCGCTTGGCCAGTTTAACCTCCTTGGCCCAGACGGTGTTGTTGAGGAACTCGCCCAGCAGATACAGCGACAGTGTAAATCCGATGACGGCGACAAAGAATAGGATGCGTTGGGGCAACTGCAGGACCTCCAGCACTGGGTATACCCACACACCGGAATAGTGCTTCACCACATGGATCCACACCAGGTAGGCGCCCATAAAGGTGGCCAGTCCGGCCAAGCCCTGGCTACGCTTGGGATACGCACGGTACGAGGTGAACAATTCCAGGACGATGAAGACCACAATGTTGGTGTGCAGGACATGGTTTAGCCAGCTATGAAAAGATAAATATTTTATTAAAATAATGTTTTAAAATGTTTTTTTTTGTATCTAGTGGATTCAAAGTTTTTTTGAAGCTTTCTAACAAAAATGTTGTAAGCTTCAACTGCTAATTAGTATGCCAAACACATCGCAGAGAAACGTTTGCAAACATTTTAACAAAAAAAAAAAAATTAAATATGTGCCAACAATTTCAGCTTTTAATTGTCGAAAAAAGCTGAACATTTCTGGATTAGGGCAATGGAATTTCAGGTCACTCATTGCTGACTCCAGAGTTTATGGAGTAACTGCTTTAAGCGCCATAATTTTTTTAATAAGAAAGCATTCTTTAGGTCAAATATTATATAACAAAAACGTAAATTTTAACTAGAAAAATAAATTCTGGGAATACTTTCCTTAGGACTAGATAAACAAAACAAATAAACATTCAGAAATGTTTGTTTTCATTAGATTCGAGCTATTTTTAGATCCAAAATGTCTTATATACCCCCTTTGAACTCCACTCAGAAAAAAAATCAAAAAATTTGAAGATCATCTCACCTAGGGAAGACCGGATCCAGCACCTTGGGGAAGACGAGCTCACGGTCGATGGCGTACAGAGTCCAGAAGGTGACACCGACATTAATGGCCACCGGAAAGGCCAGAGTGGCCATTAACCAGTCCTTGAAACGACGCACAGCCGGTGCCTTCTTGGGAGCCAGCTCATTGGTACCCACAAAATCGTTGACCAGGGAAACGATATAGTACAGGGCCTGTATTATCTGTAAAGGTTGAAGAGGAGACGTGTGTTTCAGATAATGTGGCTGAAGGGTTGTTCTATCGGATACAACTGAAGTGGAAGGAATTAATACACAGTAACAAATGTTTTCAAATACCAATATCTCTTTTAAACTAATAGATTCTTATTGAAGCTTAATTTGAATGCAAAGCACGCGATTCATTTAAGTTTTGGGGAGTGTTTGCTATTTTAAGAACTTAGCAGAAACCTTCTAAATAAAAGTACCTATATACTTTAATTATTTTTATACATTTTTGTAGTAAAATATGCTTTTAAAATGTAACTTATTTCCCGCAAGTTTGGAAGCATGTTTCCACTAATCACTGTCAAAGATTAACGACCCGACCCGTGAGATATTTTATCTCAGTGTGGAATAGATGCGTATAAACCAGTTAGACAAACGAAGCGTGCATAAACGAAGAATAAAAATAACAACAACAACACAGACTGATTTTGAACTTTAAACCCGACAGTTACGTAGTATATGTTCGTGTATCTAATGAGTAAAAGATTACCGCATCCAGGAACGTTAGATATTTGAATTTGCCCCCCCATGGGTGGTGCAGCCGCATCTCTGGCTCGGTGGTGGGAAACTCGACATAGGTATAATCGTAGTATATACCATAGGAGAACTGTACGGCCGCTGTCAGATGGAGCAGCGTTCGTAGTGCTCCATAGACACCCTGGTACACGGAGTTTCCTTTGCGCGGCGATGCCATTTTTTCCCAGATGAAGCTGCTGCTCGGACTCTCGATTGATTTTTCACGGCGGCACCAAAACCAAACCAAAACACAAACAAACCGGTCCCTCGGCCGTTGGAACGTTGAATGGCTATATGTACGGCGAGAAGAGGCTATAGCCACCCCCAAAGTGCCCACGAAACAGTGTGAACAAGTTTCGAGAACCGGGGAATACCAGGTGTGTGGATATGTAGAGAATATTTTCAACACGGGTTGCGCGTTTTTTGAAAATTGAAGAATATTTTTTTTTGGATATTATTATTTTTTATCTCACTCAGCAGGGTTTTATGTGGAACTTTCACAGACAAGTAGAGCGCACTATTTAAAAATTACAATATTTGTGAAAGCTAAAACATGATCTTGCTTAGTTTTTTTTCAAGTTTTCAAGAGTCTTACAGAAATTTATTGAATACAAAAATTACACAAATTTAAGAAAAAAGGAATTGGTGTATTTAAAAATATAGTTTCTTTTGATAGTTAGAGTTTAAATAGATTTTTTCGAAGTGATGGATAAAATTGTACAGAAGAATTAGTGGTTTGGAAATGGCTACAACGTTTAGAGACAACTCTAAACTAGACTCTTTTTATTGTTTGGAAAATATTTTTTTTAATACCTTTTCCTATTTCTCTCAAGTTTTAAAAATTGTACAGAATATTTCCGTTTTCAAAAATAGTCATACATTTTAAAAAACGTTACTTAAAAAGAATTAGTAACGAAAGCGAGATAATTTCAAAGTTACTCATAATAAAAATTTAAATTCACAGAAATGAGTGTAAAAACGAATAGCTTATCATAAAAATATTTTCATATTTTTAAAACAAATTCTTATCTTTTTTAAGCATATATGTATCGACATATATTATATATATATTTCATTTATGTCTCCAATCAGTCTAAAGGTAAAAGTTACCGATAATAAAACTTTTCCGAGCGATTAAGTTATCTGTCTGTATGTCAGCGATCTTAAAGGGTGGGGTAACCTGACTCAACAATCTACAATCGTATATTTCTCAAATTTTCCTTAATAATTTTTGATACACATATATGTATGAATATATATAAATACTCTTGCCGGCTTACCGCACAGATGAATGTCAGGAATTTCCATTTTCCGGCAAAAGGCACTGTATTGGGCATTTCGAGGGGGTAGAAATAGTAGACGCCATAGTTGAACTGCAATACGGCCGTAAAGTGGAGCAACAGTTGCACCGCCTTGTTAAAACCCGGCGAGGTAGAGCCTTTGGTCTTTGACTTTGTCTTGGGCTTGACCATAATGAACCTACTAGTACCAGATCCAGATATGTACTGATTATAGTATAGGCAGAGTCCACTCACTAGCGGCAGTTATATGTGAATGTTTGTATTAATGATAACAGTGGGTAGTCATTAAGAGTGAAGCTTTGTTTTAAAAGCTATAGGATATACTAGGAAGTTTAGAGTTTGGAAAATATATACTCATAATTACTTTCAATTTTAATCTTTGTCGGATCTGTTTGTTGATTAAAACCTGATAATAGTAGAGTATTTTATTTCCTAATTGCATTTCCTTTTTTTCAAGTACCCACTGTATGTATTTTGCGTTCACTTTGAGCCTGATAAGGCCCCCTTATCTATCGCCGTGGTACAAAGTATAGCCACTCGAGAATGAATTGGCAGAAGCTACAAAAAAAAAGCCTGAAATGGGAGCATAATCCGCATCGGAACTGCCCCCTCATCTGCCCCACCACCAGGCACTCCCCTTTAAAGCCCCACTTTCCCTACCCCTGTGCCCTGTGTATGCCACCTAGTAGGATTGTTCTATGAATAGATGCGAATACACGGGCATCATTCATATTTATGAGCCGAGACAAAGGCTCTCAGAAATATGTTGCGCAGCTAATGGCAACTATCGATTCCCACCACCTCCACTGGCCCCCCCACCAGGAGTCATTCGTTTGAAGGTCACGGCAAAAGGCCATCCACCGCCCCCAAAAGTCACCACTAACCTCATTATCGGGATATCATTATCAAGGTATTCTGTTTGTTTTTGTTATTTTTGGGCTTTTGTTACACGTCATTTATCGATTATGCGTTTGGATAATTGATATGTTTGTTGAAATGTCCAGAAATATGTCGTCATAAGACGGGTAGTCCTATATACCCATTGAGAGGCCCACCTTTTAGAGAGGTATGTAGAACATTATATGGCTCATAAAACCATCTGGATTGGTGGGAGTCATAGTCATCATTTGGTAGGCGTTCCAGCTTTTGTATTTTTGGAATTAAACTTATGTAAATTTTTTATGGATATAATATAAGTAACAAAGATTTTTAAAAGATTTAATGGGAAGTTTGGAACAATATAATTTATTTAAAATTACTCTAAAAGATTTAGTTTTACTTTGTCTTTAGATCACTCATTCAATAGTTTCCACCTCAAGGTCGCTTCCTTCTCCCCCAGCACCCAAATTGATTTCAGTTAGCTCCTGCTCATCCTGTTGACTAGGTGCGTCTAAGTCACCCGTCTCCATTTTGGGCACCACTAGGTTCTCGTCCTGCTCCTTGGCATCCAATGCAGCCGCCTCTTCGACAGCAGCTCCCTGTTCGAACATGGGATTATCGAAAGCCCGCCGTTCTCGAACCTCCCCACTCTCGGGATCATAGGCCATAATGCCCAGACGGTCCAGGCCAGATACGGATCCTCCCTCCGTCGCTCCAGCTCCAGCATTATCGAATCTATTGAAAAGCAGATTCCGGCGTATTCTAACGCCCAAGTGATGCCACCGCCAGCGACGGAGATCGTGGATCCACTGGGGAACGCGATTCAAGTAGGGATTCTCGGGCATAAAGTGAGCCAAAATAACCACAGAGACGAATCCAACCAGGACCAAGCAGAACAGAATCATCACAACCGAAGTAAAGCTCACATTGGGATTGTAATGACTTCCAGATACTTGTAAGGATACCTTCTCCTTAGTTGCTGATATGAGACTATGCAGGAACTCAAATCTATTCTCAGTATAACCATTTCGATCTGTAATCACGGCTTGTAGGGCATTCGAAAATCCCTGGTCACTCACAAAGGACACATGGGCCTCCAGATGGTCCTCCATATCGTGTTCCCTGATTAGCTTATTTATTTTAGTCTCCAGGCTCTTTTTATCCGCTTCGATGCAGTGATCCTTGTGTATGGTGAACTTGGCCCCACAAATGAGGCAGCAGGATCCGTAGGGAAGGATCGGGGAATGACAGTGGGGAATTTCACACTTTTCCTCGACATTGTGACACACCGGTTCCACCAAGCGCTGGAAGTTCTTGTGACAGCCACACAATTCACCCCGATAGTATTCCACCTGGACATCCTGCGAGTTGTGGAACAAAAACCGTCCGATATCTTGGGTGAGAAGTTGCTCCAAATAGTACTTTGATATGGAAGATCCAGCCAGGATTAGTTGTCCTAAACGAAGATGCTGCACGTTCTCCAGATCAAAGGCCAGGGGACCATGACCCTTGATTATAACCTGCTCATTGTCACAGGGGATCCTCTCCAGCTCCGGCACATACAAGGCTACTTCTTTGGATTTAATCGTCCAGGTGGCAGGATCATACCATTTGCTGGTCTTTGGTGGCTTCAAATAGGCTTTCTTTTCCTCACTTTCACAGTTGGATTTCGTTTCTTTAGAACCGAAGGTTATTGTGGACTCCTCGGCCAACAGTATGGCCCCATCTTTGGGAAAAACCACACCATCTACGGAGATATCCTCTGGCAGAGGCAGCACTGCAGGATAATGCTCCGGAAAAACAATCAAATCTTCAGCACAAGGCATGTAATCATCCACCCACGAGGAGGGACTGTTGAAGTCCATTCCGCCACTGTACCACTTGGTGGCCCAAGCCACCTGGATCGGGATAAATAGCCAGAGAAACGACCTCATGATGCCTACACAACGGAATTTCAACTGAATTTGTGTGACTTGTCAGGCCATTTCTCTTCAATTGGGGGCGTTAAACGTTCCACAAAAATCTAAATAATTTCCAGATAACAACCCAAATCGATCCAGATGAATGGCACGGCCCGATGTAAACAAAATCACACAGACATGGAGGAAACAAATCTTCCACTAGATTTATCTTTTATTCTTTCGGAATTTTAAATGGTCTTCATTGATGGATAATATTGTTGGGAATTTCTGACCAATATTTTAAGATTAGGAAATCATAAATTGAAAATTTCTGGCCAATAATTTAAGATAAAAAATGTTTTAAATAAAAATTTGGTGAAAAATAGGTTTTATAGAGGATATTGGAGGGAAATTCTACAAACATATTCAAAAGTTTCCCTAAATATGCTTCTAAAATTAAATCTTTCAAACATTTCATTAAACTTTTTATTGTTTCCAGAAAGTTTTAAAAGCAATTGTCTTTTTTTTAATTTTGGCATCACGCGCTTGATAAATGATCACCCAAAAAATAGCACTAATAAATCACCTAAAATCGAACTGATCAACCTAAAAACATCGACGTTTTTTTATAAATATATAGTATATAGTATCTGTTGTACAGATTGTATATGAATGTGAGACTGGAGAACCTACACAGATTTTCCAACATACGTTTCCACAATGCAATTGTTTGTCGGAAAATAGTTGAAGTTTATTTTTTTATTTTGATTGTGCTGATATAAACAATTTTCCCTCCATCCGACTGCTTGACGGAAGCCTTTGGAATGCCTTGAAGAAAGGCAACTAACTAAAAAAAAAAAGAGGAAAACAGCAACAAAAACAATTGAACCGGATGGCACCGAAAAATACTCGTGGCTCTACATAAAAGCAATTTGCCAAAGAATAAATGAAAAAAATATCGAAGCAATTGCAGATCTGTAGATATAAAGCACTTTATGCTCACCAGCCAGATCAAAGTAGTGGAAGGTGGGTGGTAGGAGGTGAGAGGTGGGCAGTGGGCAATGGGCGGTGGGCGGCATTAATCAAGGGCACGCAAGGTCGTGCAATAATAAACCAAAAGTCTTCACTGGAAAAGCCACACGGAAATGGAAATTTTAAGTACATTAATTATTACCAACACATGTTTGTATGTTCTTGTGAGAGGAAAAATTGATTAAAAAAATTGTCATATTTTAAAAAAATGTTCTTTAAAGAATTTTAGTATCTGCGAGATAAATACCATACTTGGATTTTATCCTTTACCATTAATGAAGACATAAATTTTGTAATTTAAAGAGGTCAAGTAGATTTAAGGAAAGTAGTTTACATATTTTTGTTGATCTCATTTTATAATTGCTTTAAATTTTAATGGAGTTTTTCAAGGTAAATTATTATGGTTTTTTTAAAATATGTTTATAGGGCATTACAATAAAATGAAAATAATGTTTATAAGGTGATGGTATTTTTCTCAATAGGTGGTAATAAGGTAATGGGTTTTTATGTGTGTCATATAATTTATTTTTGCATAATTAACATTTTCCTCTGTTTCTTGTTGGAAATTTTCCCAGTTTATAGGTCAAATCTCATCTGGTATTTATTTACCATTCTCTGAATGAAAAATTCGCCTTTCCATGATGACAACCACTTCAAGTTATTTGCTATTGTTTTCATTGGCTTTCAATAGTTGCCAAGTAGCTGCGAGAAAAATGCAATAGCCGATCGATTTTCTAAACAATTTTAACGATATGTAAATGAGTTGTGACGCCTGCCAGTGGCTGGGCCAGAAAACAACCTCAGATCCTCCCAATCCCCTCGTTAAATCACCCAAATGGTGTCTCGAATCAAATCGAAGCCAACTGCCCGGTATGGCATATTTACATTGGCGCCCATAAGATAATCTGGCATTCGTCAGTTCCATAAATTTGCAAGCGAATTCACACACACAAAAAAAAAATTAAAAATAAAAAAACCGCAAACATCTGAGCAAATAAATATCATACTTGGAGAGAACAATAAAAAAATCGGGAATAATCAGTGAAGAATGAGGGAAGCTGCACACCAAGTGGATGCACTGGACCGACCAGGAAAAGGAAAAGTGCAGTGCAAACGATGGAATTTTTATCTGTATCTATCAGATACTCTCGGTATCTTGCAGTTGTTGAACCCGTGTGGTCGCCGGATTCCCCAACGAGCAGACAACAAATAAACAAACATATGGCAGACATAAATGCGAACACAACAACATACACTGCCATAATAATAAGAATAATTTTCTTCATTTTTTTTTTACATATGTACATATGTCCATATTCCACACTTGAAACCCGCTCCCCAGATATCTGTCCGCAATTCCATCCTTGATTTTAAATTTGTAATAATTCACAATACATATACTTTTGGTGATGCCTTCAATTGGCTTTAACATAAATCCGTCAACTCACCAGCGACCAATAGGCCAGAAATTTAATTTTCTGGGGCAGCGATTCCGGGACGAGGCGACGATTCAGACTGGTCTTTAGCTTGTAGCTACGCTGGATCTCAAAGGAGCTGTAGTAGAGACCGTAGGCGAACTGGCCCAGGGCGCACAGGTGTATGATTGTCACAAAGACACGCGACTTATAGAGCTCCACTTTGGTCATCTTGAAGTTTTGTTTTTCTCACAAAAATCCTGCACGAACAAAAGCCAAGGGATAACACAGAGGGGAATTATAGAAAAATAGACAGTTTTTTGTTATTAAATTAGTGATTTGGCTATATTTTTTAAAAACATATTTCTTTAATTCTTTAAAAATAAATAAGAGATACTTTTTAACACCCTCAACCAACTGAATACTACTATTACTGGTATGTCCTTTTTTTAAATTCACATTTTTCTTTACAAAATGAAGTGATTTTCTTTCTGTGTAGTATAGTAGTACTAAAATAAGTACATAAAAAGACTTTGTCAAGGTGTTTTTCCTCTTGAGGCAAGACACCTCCGTCTCCGTGTTAAGTCAACCCAAAGCGCGCACTAAATTTAAATCAATATTTGCGTCACTGACATAAATATTTAAGGGCCCCTCTTTCCCATTCCTTCAGGCAACTCAGGAAATTCCACAACAAAAACAATAAAATCTAAACCTAAATATCCTCCCGTGGCTTTTGCGTATGTTTATAATTAAATTATGTTCATAATTTGATGGTTTTTTATGGCCATTTAAAGAGAAATTGTTGATTGTTTCACATTTGATTTTTACTCTTTAAACAAATCGGCACACGCACGTATGTTTTTTTTTTATTCCTGATTTTTCTTTACTCAAGAGGATTGACCAATTTTCGATTTTAATTTCGGGTCTTTCCCACCTACTAGAGACTACCGCGGCACAACAGAGCGTATGGAAAACTGGAGTCGTACTGGATATCGCTCATACGCCGCGTTGCCTGCCGTCTTGCTTTTGTGCTTAACGCTTTTTCTTTTGCTTTTTTTTTTGCATTGTACTCGTACTTGTGCTGTTGCTTCTGTTTCGGTTCGGTTTTCGGTTTTTTTTTCAGGTTTCGGTTTTGTGGTGTCGGTTGTGCTCTGTTGTTTCGCTTCAGGTGCGTGCTGCGCATGTCCGGATTCCAGAATTCGCATTCCGGATGCCACATGGCGGATCCGGGCGGATGGGAGCCTCCGTTCTTATGCGTTCCTGATGACCAATCACCTGAATGAATCGACTCTGCAGCCCATTCACTTATTTGTATTGTTGCTTTTGTACAGAAAGGCACAGATTAGAGGCCCCACTGGTCCTGCAATTTTAGATAATTCTGCGTCATGATAAGCATCTTGTGTTATTTTTGGCGAGTACACTTGCTAGTGCGTCAAACCAAAGATAAGAATATTTACCTTAATAGAGTAAAATATAACTAAGAACTACTTGAAGTTTATTTTTAGCTTAAATTAATAGATAAAAGCTTTCGAAAAGATTTCCCTTTAAACGATTTTCCTTCAAAAGATTAACTTCAAACTATTTTAAGTTTTTTTTATAAAAAGTTATAAAACACCACAATAGTCTAAGATGTCAATAAGCTCTCGAAAATAAGGAAATAATCAGAATAATGTTAAAGAACTGATTTTATTATTAAAATACTTAAAACTTCTTTGAAAATGATAATACTTTAGAAATTTAATTGGAATACGCCTCTGTTCAAAGCTAACAAAATACATTTTCTGAATATTACTAAGTCAAAACCAAAATATTATATATTTATTAATATACATATAAATATATAGATATTCCTGTTTAAATTATAAAGACATTTAAACTTCTCCCGCCAAAAAGACCGTTCGAATCATTATACATATAAGCTTTTGGTGGTCACACTGGCTCGGGTGCCAGGGTTGTTAAATTGCTAAATATTTGAAAAATTATTAAATTTTTTATATTTGTGGTCAAAATTAATAAATATTATTTTTAATACACAACTTAAAGCCGTTTAATCTTTAGCCGTCAATATTTTGTCGGTAAAAATATTATAAAATATCGAAAGAAATATCGATATGAATATTTTTATATCAACAACCCTACTGTTTTTGTTTCAAACCGGGGGACATGTCGTAACCCAGTACGACAATAAAGGATCCACAAACATCCAAATTCGCAGTATATGCCTTTCCGGATCAGGTCACGTTGTCCAGTTTGCGTTCGGACTCCAAGTCCCAGTAATGTCGGCAGCTTCGCGGATAACTTTGGGCCTGGCAGTCACCGTTTCCACCGCCATCATAGGTTATGTGCACTATAAACAATCTGCTGACCGGTAAGTGGTTACCCTAAATTTGTAAAAGAAACTATTAGCTATAAATGTTCTTGTAGGTTAAAACTCCACGATGGTGTTCTGCGGGATGTGGAGCGTCAGCAGCGACGGAAACACGAAAACACCTATACGCTGCAGCAACAGATTGACATGACCAAGCAACTGAGGGCCAGGGAGGCTTCCACCTCCAATGTGTCTTCGTCATCCAATACCACAAATGCATCTACCACTCCCCTGCCACCCACCCAAACACCATCACGCAAGAGCATCCAGCTGGAGTCTGATGCCACAAAAGGTGTACTACCAAAGGCGAAGCTTCCTAAAAGCCAGGATCCGCCTCACCAGCTGTCAGGGGCAGGAGAGGAATCCGAAGCACCAGCAGAAGCTATTCCACAGACGGAGGACGAGACAGCCAACGATAATGTCAAGACGAGCACTGAAGATGTCTGATTCTGGGAAAGACTACCCAAAATTTGTAACACAGCTGGAGCTGGAGAATCCCATTTCATCTGAAATGCAAACCCAAATCTAGATCATGGTCTGGCGATTAAAATATTGCATTTGTTATGTCTTTTCTACTTGATTTAGAATTTTAATGATCATGTTATTGGAAAATAAGTTTGAAACAACTACAGAAAATACATCTGCACTAAATATACTAAAATTAAAAGCTTTAAAATAAATATAAAGTTAAAAAATCATTTATAATATAACGGATAATATTTTAAGAAGATATTTTTAAACATTAATCAATTTATTAAAAATCTAAATGCGTTTAAAAAAATGCAATACATTTCAAAACAATAATTTTTTACCATATTCCGATAAATATTTTTACATAGTCTGGCGTAAATTAAAATTTTGAATTAGTTTTTAAATACACAAAATACACATTAATTGATTTCTTTAATTTATATTGTATATTTTTTAAAAAGTACATAATGTATGCAATATTTTCATAGTTTCACGTGGTCTGATTAGTTTGCCGGCCAAGAACAAACTCTTAAATATTTTAATATTTAAACTACATTTTCCATTTAAAGCTCCAATATGCTTTGTCATCTGTATATAGTATTACTCAATTTTATTATTACGAATGTGTGTTATAAGTAATTACAATTCTAATGGGCGCTCGGTAAAGTATATAGCGGGGGGTTTGTACATAGGTGGTGGTGGAACACCCCACTCCTCCTCTACTCCACTCTTCTCCATAAAAAAAAAGAGATTAATAAAAGGATAAATGAACGTCGAGAATAAAATACACGATACTTGGAGTTGCTTGTCCGTTTCTCTCTCTTTTATCATCCCGTCTTCTGAATTGCCACTGAATCGAAAATCATTCAGGAGATTAGTAACGACCACCACCGCCTCCTCCGCCGCCGCCGCCTCCACCACCACCGCCGCCTCCGCCGCCTCCACCACCGCCGCCGCCGCCACCCTTGCGACGGTCACGATCGTTGCCACGATCATTTCCACCTCCGTAGTTTCCGCCACCAACTCCATCTCCTCGACCATCACGTCGCCGCCAAGGAGAGCGCGATCTGCTGCGGGAACGGCGCGAGCGGGGGGAGCGAGAACGCGATCGGGCGCGGCGACGGCGGGAATACAAATACCGCCGCAGCTCCCGAGAGATAGGCTTCAGGTGCATAAAGTTGCAAAAGCCAGACCGGGTGCACTCGCCCATCTCGTACTGCCGGCAGCATGCCTCGCGGAAATCGGTGACGGGCGACAACTCGGAATATACTGGTCTGCCGCCGAACCAGCGGTTGTTCAAATCATTCGCTGCCTTCTCTGCATCAGCCTCGTTCCGGAACTTGATGTACACATTGCCCACGAGGTGGTCACCCAAATTATCGCAAACATTCATCTCCTCAATTTCGCCATATTTGTCTTCGCACTCGACGAACACATCCTCGAAGAAGTTGTCATAATGCTCCTGCATCTCCTCATCGGAGACATTGGCCACCAAATGCGATCCATCCGCAGACTTGGCCGAATTCTGCGGGTTGACGTACAGATTTTGGAGCAGTACCGTCTGCGAGAAGGTCGGTTTGTTGTGGATCCGAGAGCACCGATCGCCGTGGCGGCAGGCGCCAATCTTAAAGTAAAACGAGCAGTTGACTCTGCCCGCGACACCGGTTAACTCAGTAATTAAGGAAAAACTAACCCATGGGGTGCCCAAAAACCATGCGACTTACTTGTCCTTTTCTGTGCCAAAAATGGAGGCCAAATACTCGGCCATGGTGGCGCAGTTCGGCTAGTTTGCGCGCGTTTAATTGCCAAAGGGCTCAACTTCGCTCCACGCTGTTCGCCTATCAGACGCTTTCGTGCCACAGAATTGCGCTTGCTCTGTCTATTTTTGCCAATTTTCGGCTATTTTTCGTTTTGCCGCACGTAAAAAGCAGCGTCTGGTTGTATTTTGCACAGCGTTGCCAGCTCTAAAACAGGGTTGTCAAGCGCCGCTATCGATAGTAGCTAAGGGTTAGACCCAGGGCTGGAGATATATCGGTGTTCGGGGGGTTATTGAGCAATTATGCTTATATCTCTTATTGTTCTTTTTTATTTTAAGAGTAAATTAAAAAAAAAATGCAATTATGTAAGGAAGGAGTGTAGATTTTTTGAAATAAATACAGGGATGTCTAATAAGAGGGATAGATAAGTAAACAAAAAATCGGGATACAAACACTAAACAAGCTTCACGTTTAAAAAATCCTAAACGATTTATAAAAATTAAAAATGAAACAAAATGTCTCTTAAAATGAAAAGAAAACTTGGCGGTTTGACTGAAAACGATCGAAGTTATCGATGTTTTTCCAGAATAAATATCGCAGTAAGCGCTATTTGCAATTTCAACGAGGAGTCTGGTAACACCGTTGTTTGACAGCGATTTTGCTTCTAGAAAAGTCGGCATTTTTTTGCATCTTTACCTGGCTAGGCGCATAGCGTGATTCCACCAGCAGTTAACCGAGATTAAGAGCAATTCTTAACCCTAGTTAGCTTCTCCACCAGCAGATATGGACAAGGTGAGCAAAAACCGTGCGGCCTGGGGGCCGAGACAAAGGAAAACGTGGGCTCTAACCCTTGCGGTCGCTGCAGGTGAACGAACTTAAGGAAAAGGGCAACCAGGCGCTGAACGCCGAGAAGTACGACGAGGCGGTGGCAGCCTACACAGAAGCCATCACACTAGACGGGCAAAACCATGTGCTGTATAGCAACCGTTCCGCGGCCTACGCCAAGGCCGGCAAATTCCAGGAGGCGCTGGAGGATGCAGAAACGACGATCAAATTAAATCCCTCATGGCCGAAAGGTTACTCCCGCAAGGGAGCAGCTGCTGCCGGACTGCAGGACTTTATGAAGGCCTTCGAAGCCTACAACGAGGGTAGGTCACTCCTTAATGAATCATCAAAACTGCATTACCTAACCTCACTTTGGCTATAACTCAGGTCTTAAGTACGATCCTCAGAATGAGATCTTGCTGCGGGGTCGGCAGGATATCACTGCTTCCGTGCTGAACTACATGCAATCGCAGGGCGACTTCCCAATGGACATTGATCCGCAGGCGCGCCCCAGGCGAGCACCTTCTCCACCCCCTTCCAAGCCGGCTCAGCCATCCCAGCCCGCTGAGAAAAGAGTGGAGGACATGACAGAGGAGGAGCGAAAAAAGCATTTTGCCAAAGAGGAGAAGGAGCTGGGCAATGCGGCATACAAGAAGAAGGACTTTGAGACTGCTCTGAAACACTACAATGCTGCCATCTCTCACGATCCCAACGACATTACCTTCTACAACAACATTGCTGCCGTGCACTTCGAACGGAAGGAGTATGAAGAGTGCATAAAGCAGTGCGAGAAGGGTATCGAAGTAGGTCGCGAGAATCGCTCAGACTTCAAGCTGATTGCCAAATCATTTGCTCGCATCGGCAACACCTACCGCAAGCTGGAGAACTACAAGCAGGCCAAGGTCTACTATGAGAAGGCCATGTCCGAGCATCGCACACCGGAGATCAAAACCTCTCTTAGCGAGGTGGAGGCCAAGATCAAGGAGGAGGAGCGCATGGCGTACATCAATCCAGAGAAGGCCGAGGAGGAGAAGGAAAAGGGCAACGAGTACTTCAAGAAGGGCGACTACAGCACAGCTGTCAAGCACTATTCGGAGGCAATCAAGCGCAATCCTGATGATCCCAAGCTGTACAGTAATCGGGCTGCCTGCTACACTAAGTTGGCCGCCTTTGATCTCGGTCTGAAGGACTGTGAGACCTGCATCAAACTGGATGAAAAATTCATCAAGGGTTACATTCGCAAAGGCAAAATTCTCCAGGGCATGCAGCAGACTTCTAAAGCCCAGTCGGCCTATCAGAAGGCTCTCGAAATCGATGCCAACAATGCGGAGGCCATTGAAGGCTACCGTCAGTGCTCAATGAACTTCCAGCGCAATCCCCAGGAGGTGCTCAAGAATGCCATGTCCGATCCAGAGATTCAACAAATCCTCAAAGACCCGGCAATGCGAATGATCCTCGAACAGATGCAGAACGAGCCCAATGCGGTGAAAGAGTAAGTTAATTATTTTTTAAATTAATTTAAATCCATAGGGCAGTTCGATACTCGAGTGTGGAAATTTTAAGGGGTTCTCCGAAGAAGTTCTAGAACTTTCATGTTCCAAAACAAAAAGGTTATGTAAATCAGGCTTTTTGGGGACTAGTAATAGGGACTTTGAACAAAATTCAAATATTTGAAAAACTTGTTTCAATTATGTTGGTTTTTCTTGAAGTTTGCTTCTGATATATTGACTTATATTTCTTCTAGAAATAGGAACATACCTTATTTTAAAATTTCTACTTTTTTATCTAACCAAAATTGAACCCCAAAAGCATATTACTTTTTATGATTATTATGCCTATTTTAAGATTTCTGGTGTATAGGCGCGCAGCCAGAACCTTATCAACATGTGAATGACAGATACACGAAAGAATATTTGGGAGTTTTGATTGTTTATAATAGAAATATACTTTTGAAAATAGAACACACCCCTTATCCGCACGAGTACCGGGCTGCAAAGTGGTTGAACTCAATTTTAATTAACGACAAAACCTTACCTTTATTTTGCAGCCATTTGCAGAATCCAGCCATCGCCGATAAGATAATGAAACTGCTGGAATCGGGCATCATTCAGCTACACTAAGCACTCCACTCACACTAACACCCACACTCTCACACACCCACACACACCACACACACACAAAACCATATTGATAAACATTCAGGAGACAAAAAACAAAAAAAAAACGGATACTATGCATTATACAAAAATTTATGGCACTTTAAGCTGGTTAACTAAATATCGTTTTTTCGAAGAAACGGGCCACAATTAATGCTAAAACGTTATTACCTTAGAAATCGCAACGCCTCAACGCCGAACGACGATAAACTACAACTAACTAAAGAATTATTAAAAAAAAAACGAGAATATAAAATCATTGATACATGTCTGCCTAGTTGATTTACGCAGACGGATGGAGTAGGCTCCAACGTCAAGGTCCTTATTTTCTTACTACAATAACTATGCTGTAGCTTAGCTCTAAAATAAGATTTTGAATGTAAAATAAATGAGTCAAAGAATGGTATGAAAGCTTGTTTATCATTTGAATTGCGCGGTAAGTTTTGCAGTTGTCGGTTTTCAACACTAGGCTAACAAATCGGGCGCTTACGTTGTCAGTGTTGCCAAGACTTTGGTTCCAAGCCAAAGTTTGTAAACTTAAAATAATATGCTTAGGATTCTTACAAAATATCTTAATTATAAATTAAAAAAAAATGTTTTCTTTGATATTATCTAAAAAAATATAATATGTATAAATTTATTTACAATTTGTTTAACATTTTTGGAATGCAATGGATTATTTAAGGAAGTAAATTTAGTTGATAGCTTGCCTATTACCACTTTGTTCGTATCGACTTGAATATAGGAAAAAAAAATACAGATTTAAACTCGTTTTTTCTAATTGCGCAGTTTATTAAAAGGATTAATTCTACTTGGAAACCAGTTGGCTACCCTGATGCTGGTGCTTACGTCATTCGCCTGGCCTTACGTACTTTTTGGCCCTGGCCAACACAGGAAGCGACCAGTGCTGGTCAACGCCGGCAGTCAGGCAGCAAGTGGCATGGCAACAACAGCAACAGTACCAGCGCTGTCCAACACCGCACGATTTCTTCCCGAGAAAATGGAAATGGAAACGGTGTGCTGATTGTGATTAACTCCCTTTTTGTCGTCCAAAAGTGCCGTACGAGAATGTTTTAAGCCGCCAACCATTCCGAGACAAAATCGTTAATCTATTTAGTTATTAACTGCATACGAGAATAGCGCAAAAAGCACCAAAATTCATTAAAATCCCGAACCTCAAGCCAACCATTTTTTTGAAACCAGTGTGTCGTAGTGTCCACCGTATTGTGGTGTTGGTGCGTGTGTGCTGCGTGTATGTTCGTATGTGCGTTTTTTATGTGTGTGTGTGTGTGTGCGAAATCGAGAATAGAAAGATGTGCGAGCTATAGGCTATAAGCTATAGCTATAGCTATTTAACACACGCGAATATAATCGAGCGAGTAGCACCCTAGGACCGAAACCGAGAATTATCATAGAAGCATCCCCGTTCATCGTCAGGAATTTCAAATCCGCTAAATCCAAGACCAACAAAAGTAAGTATTTCTCCCAGATTCAGATTCGAATTTCGGATTCAGAGCGCTTGGCAACAGGCCCGAGAAACCCATAGAGAGCGAGCGAGCGGGGGGGGTTCAGTGTGGGTGGCGGGTGGCGGGGGACGGGGCGATAGAGAGAGCAGGCAAGCAGGCAAGGCAGGCTAGCAGGCCAAGAGTGAGAGAGAGCCGGGACGCCGAGCGATTACATGGCTCGTTTTGTGTCAAGAGAGCAGTTGGTAGTTGTTGTTGCTATTATTGCTGGTGGGGGATATATGGCCCATATCTATTAACAGATTTGGGAGGATATAGAGGGGAGGCTATAAGGATAAAGTACATTTTAAAAAAGTAATATTTATTCTTAAAAAAAATCTTACCATATTTGGTTTAAAATCTTAATCCCATTTAGGAATATCTTTCTGGCAGGAAATAGAATTTCAAAATTAAATTCTTTCTCAAACAAAATTTTAAATAACTTTTTTTTATCTTTATATACAAAATAAAAAGCAACGTAAATAATATACGATAAGAAGTAGCTTTAATGTTTGTTTTTAAATTCAAAACCATAATATTTTATCAAAAAAAAAAAGCTAAAATTAGAACAAATATCTTGACTTTCTTAGTCATTTAAAAAAAAATAATTAGTTATCAATTATAACCTAATTAGTATGAAAGATAGTAGCTAATCCCTAATTATAACCCAAATAATAACTTAATTAATAATCCATTTTTTTAATTTTTAGTGCAACCCTCACCGCTTCACTATTCAACGATGCGGCCGCAAGCGCCCGGATCGCTGGTCGATCCCAACGAGGAGGAGCTACTCCAGGCCCCCTGGTACTGGGGCCGCATCTCCCGTGAGGAGGCCAAGGGCATACTGCACGGCAAGCCCGATGGCAGCTTCCTGGTGCGCGACGCCCTCTCCAAGAAGGGCGAATACACCCTCACCCTGATGAAGGACGGCAGCGAGAAGCTGATCAAGATCAGCCATATAGATCGCAAGTACGGCTTCATAGACACCATGACCTTCAATTCGGTGGTGATGATGATCAACTACTACAAGGAGAACTCGCTGAGCATGTACAACAAGGCGCTGGACATAACGCTGAGTAATCCGATAGTGCGAACCTGCGAGTACGACGACTCCCAGCCGCACGGTGACCTCAAGCTGCTCAGCGACGAGTTCATCCGTGTGTCCAAGATGCTCCAGACCTTGGAACAGACGCTGGAGCAGAAGCGCAACTCGTTCAATGCGATACGCGAGGAGCTGCAGGAGAAGAAGATGCACCAGACCGTCTTCATCAATGCCGAGAAGATGATACGGAATCAGATCAAGCTTAACGAATCCTTCATGAAAACGGCCAACGACTCCAAGTCGGCGGAGGCCGGCGGCGACAATGTCCAGGGTGTTCAGGCTCGGTCCAGTCTCTTGGAGAATCAGCATCGACTGCTCCAGATACTGGAGATCATTGAGAACAAGCTGCAGGCCCTCAACATCTACATGGAGGGCAAGAAGAAGGATGAACTGTTGCTGGAACGCCAGATCAATGCCACCAAGCCGGAGCTTCAGGCTTTGCAGTTTCGGAAGGACAAATTCATTGAGTAAGTGCATCATAGTCTGGAATTTTTAGAATTTCTCGCATGGTTCTGGCTCATTTTACACGCAACCCGCTCGGCTGATCGTTCATTCTTCAGTTGGGGGTTCTTGTCGGCAGCTCGTCTGCCGACCGAAACCGATAATAATGGCATAACACTGTTAGTGGCTATACCCCCTCTGCTGGAACCCCTAGCCATCGCATTAGCCACGCCAGCCGGTCGTCTACGTGCCCGGCTGGCAGTCTAGCTCTATTTCGTTGGAACTTATTCCCAGAAACCACCGATTCCCAACCAGAAACCTATTCTGAAGTCATCCGACCAAATTAAATGTCCATAGATTTTCCTTAAAGACCCTGAGGGATCTAGGTTGGAGCCAAATATGTCAGAAACTTCAAATCTCATGACAAATATTCGTCAAGTAATGCCTCTGTTTGTTTCAATTTTAAAGCTTACTCTAGATATCACTTCGAGTTGTGGGGGGGCAGTGATAAGACCCCCCCTTCTTATAGGAAATTATCTGGATTTTGGTCACCAGAACGAGGAATTGCCAAATATATATTATTATTTGTTGAGTAATATATTTTCAAATATTTGGATAACTTTTATTGGTCGTGGGGAGGGGGCAAGCTTCAAGGTCATTGAAGGAAGATATGCCATAGCTTTCACATCTATAACTATCTACCAATACCTTCTCTTGGATTTTTCTTACAACTTGCCCCTATGCCCCGACGCAATCGACCACATGGGGATGGGTGAGAGACTATCTAAGACCCTGCCTGGCAACAGGGCACCAAACTGGGTTACAAACATTCTTGGAATACGTCATTGTTGGATGGGTTTACTTCTTTGGTTTCTACGGGCTTTCATTATACCTTAAAAAAATCGCAAAAAATCGCAAGTGATAGAGGAAGCGGAATAAAGCCAGCACCGAAGCGAACAGATAAGGTTAGCGCCTTGCCCAAGATAGCCACGCTTATCAGGAGGCATTATGCCGAGTGCTTAATATTTCTATACTTGCCTCAGTCCACAAATATGACTATATACGACTATATATACATACTTTATAGAGTGTGTGGTGGTGAGCTTTTTGGCAAACACACACTTTCTATGCTGCCCCAAGGTTCTTTTTGTAACAAAACTACTGGGAGATATAGTGATAAAGATATATCTTGGTATACCGATTACCGATTAGGCCTTGCTTGGTGATGATGATTCCCAGCCTTAAAGATTGATGATGATATCACACCACTACCGCAAAAAACAAAAAAAAGGTTATCGCTCTTGGGGGATACTTAGTCACGTAGATAGCGCTTGAAAGCTTAGGGTAGCGGTTCTGGTGGCCAGCCAAGTGGCAAGAGAGTAGGTATCGCCACCGAGGTGGGTGATGAGGAAACCTCCGGGTCTAGTCACTCGTAGACCGAACGGCGGCTAACGGCTGGCGGCTCGAACCGATGGAAGCGATCGCATTTAGTTATCTGGTGGGTGGTGGTTTGGGGGTGGTTAGGGGGGGTGGGTGGATTTCGTCCCCAAATGAAATTGCACGCAGTTGCTTCGGTTATCGGGAGAAATCGAATTTAATGACTGGTTAGCCAGGTAGCCATCTAGTCACCTCTAAGATGCGTCAGTAACCCCAAGGGAAGAGGTCTTGTTGGACACGTCATACTTAATAGAAGTTTCAACTACCTTGCTAGATATCTATATAATATATTTGGACCTCTTTTTAAAAAAATAATTAAACACAGGGCCACGCCTTTCAAGTCACGTACGCCAAGACCCCCCCCCAGAATAAAAAATAAAAATAATTGTGAAATAAAGTGAGTTTCAAATCGTAAAGCCAACTTCCTGGCAGCATGTGCTCCTTGTCTCATCTTCTTTTGGACAAATTCCTTTTGTAATTACCACTTCATATCCTTTAAACGACCCTAACTAACCTCCACTTTCAATTATTCCCTTATTCCAGACGTCTGAAGAACCACAATCTGAAGGAGGACGACCTGAAGACGATCCTGGAGATGGGCTTTGTCAAGTGGCTGCGACACCATGAAACGGCTTCCAATCAGCCGCACAGCAACGAGGCGTTGTGGCTACTCAAGGATGCCAAGCGGCGGGATGCCGAAGAGCGGCTTAAGGACGCACCGCCCGGCACTTTCCTCATCCGGGTAAGGGACGCCGGCAACTATGCCCTGTCCATTGCCTGCACGGTGAAGGATACCAATACGGTGCAGCATTGCATCATTTATGAGACAGCCACTGGATATGGATTCGCTGCTCCGTACAACATCTATCCAACGCTGAAGAAGTTGGTGGAGCACTATGCCAACAACTCACTGGAGGAGCACAACGACACGCTGACCACGACGCTGCGCTGGCCGGTGCTGTTCTGGGAGCAAAACTCCCAGCACATTCTGGCCCAGCTGCAGGAGGAGGCGGAGCTGGAGCGAGAGCAGGCGGCCAGCCTGATGCCGCCGCACTTGGGGATGATGGGCAGCAGCAGTGCTCCGATACCGACGAGTCGGTCCAGGACGACGAGTCACGACCAGGTGGATGGTATGGCGGGTAGCCAGGAAACTGATACACCGCCCGCCTCCATTTCGCCCTCGAACTTTAGCACTTCGCAGTAGGATGCCCCCGCCCCCCCCCCAATCTCCCCCAGGCCCTCCACCTCAGGCTAGCTATCTTATCTCTCTAACTCTTGCTCCCCCCCCCCCTAACTCTCTATATACATATATCTCTCGATATCTGTACCAGCGAATGCGGTCCAAATGGTAGTTTAGACTGTAAACTATAAAGCTATCTCTGATGATCGAAGAACTATCATTCTTGAAAATCTAATCAGTTTCTGATCAAAATTAAGACATATTACCCATCATAGCCAGTGTTTTTCAAAAAAATTTTCTTTTGAAAAAGATATCGTAAACCTTAAATGCAATATCCGGTTTTGCAGTTTCTATTATTTAGACCGCAATCGCAGTATGTGGATCATAAAATTATTGAAAACTATTTTGTGTGTGATGATATGGATGGCGCTGGCAGTTGAACTGTCCAAAAGTAACAGCGCCCTTCCCCTCAGAATCAGAAGGCTCCGGAAACCGGAAACTAGAAAACCGGAAACCGGATATGGAAAAATGAAATATAACGAGTAACATGTTTTTTTGGGTGATCAATGTTAAATGATGATGGCGGCTTGCTAGAAGCCACCTTGTCGATGAAACGAAACAATTTTTTCTAATTGAGAAAGAAATCTTATTAATTAATTACGATTAATTTTTTATATTCATACACATACACATACACGTATATATGTATATACATATATCTGTGTATATTATATACTTTGTAATAATGCATTTCGCGTGATAATTGATAAGTCAAGCTATCTATCTGTTGTTGTACCAACTCCACACCTGCTCCAACTCCACTTTCCCCCAAAAGCCCCACATCCCACATCCCTTGCAATTATTGTTATCACGCTGCGCGTTGTCATAAGGGAGGTGGGTTGGTGAGTGGGTGGTAAAGTGGGTGGCTAACAAAGGAGCAGGAGTGTGACTGGAAATCGTGAAGAAATTTTCTGCATTTCTTCAACACAATTTTGTCGTGTTCATGTAAATATTCTAAAAAGAAAGAAAGAAAAAAATAATCGAAACAAAGGAGCAACCGCATACGTTTTTGCGAAATCAGGTTAAGGTTTTGATAACCGCCCCACACCACCCCCCTCTTAGGCCCCCCACCCCAACCCCTTGCTCTAATATTTGTTGTTATATTATGATTGATTTAATGTAGTTCTAAGTGAAAAAAGAAATACGTACGTTTACTCGATGTGATCAGTTGATTGTTGCTAAAATAGTAATTTTCATTAAATTTTTTTTGTCAATGTTTTTTTTTTTTTCAACAATAAGAGAAAGCCTTAATTTCCATAAAAGAAACACCTCAGATACACAAAAACACACACACACACACAGAGTTTAAACAAAGAAAAAATAAATGTACAAAGGAAATATAAACAAAAAAAAAATTAAAAATCAAGAGAACTTCAAACAGCAACAAGCAAAAAAAAAAAACAAAAACAAAGTGCAATCGAAAATATAATAATTAAATTTTTAACATTTGTTAATTTAAACAAGGAAAGAAACAGGAAAAAAAGACAAAAAAGTTGCCCATATATAAACCATTATATACAACAAACAAAAATATATATAACCCCTGCTGCAATAGGCAAAAAAAAAAATCAAGCTGCTTAAGTTCTTTTACAAAACTGATATTTAACATTTATATGTAGGAGTGCATGTTTAACCCACCAGCTTTTTCTTTTTGTGGAAGATACCCTTTCCCAAAATTTACCAAACTAAACTCACTAATAAGTAATATTTAACAGAGTAGTTGTGCAATTTCGAAACTAGCTTGCCGATCATATTATTGTAATCTTTTTTTTTGGGAAAGGGTATCCCCAATGTTTTGCTTCAAATACATAGTTCTCTTGTGCCACCCTAATGTTCTAAGCGAGTTGAAAACTTTTCGTGCTTCCTGTTTGCATTATTCTCCCTAATCGATATCGAATCGATCACACTTACACCCAGACACACACAAAAAACACTGGCGCGTCTTTCAGATATTTCTATAATACCATATATATTTAAATATATATATATATGTATAAAAAAAAAACAAAAAAAAATATTATTCTATACTTTATTGTGTAACTTCTAATTTAATTTATTTACCTGTAACTTGTGTGTTTCATTTTTGCTTAAATTCTATGAGATTTCGGAGGATCTCGTACGTTGTAGTATTTATAAGTTTTAAATATAGTTTGTAATATGCGTTTCAAACATTATAAAAGAAAAGAAAACACAAAGAAACAAAACCAACAAGTAGATGTGTGAAAGATTAAATGTATTCTAAATATGATTGATCCGATATATCAATTATAATTGATAACTGATGATAATGATGTAGATGATGATGATGACTTTTTGCCATACCTAAGTGTTAGATGGAAATATTTGTGAATTTTTTTTCTCGCTTTTCTCTGCTTGGCGTCTGCATTTTTCGGCCCAGGCCCGGAACAAGGAGAATTAAAATAAAAAATAAAATTAAATTTCAATAAAAAACAAAAAAAATAAGAACGAAAACAAAAAAAAAAAAAAATGAAAACAATGGAAGTCGACGACGAAACTAAATGTGAAACGAATTGCAAATTTGTTGTATTTTTTTATATGGATATATACATACAATATAGATATTTAACCCATACATACCTATATAATATGTATGCTCTAGAATGCTATATGTTGTAGATCTTTAAGCGCTAATAGCAAACCACAACAACAAACAAAAACAACAACAAACAAACAAACAACAAACATTTTTTGTAGTAGTTTTTTAAAAATGAGACGAAGAAGAATCGATGAAAACATTATTGTATGTATTTGTATTTGTGTCTAAAAAGAATGTTCGTAAATAACACAAACGAGAAGAAGAAACAATAATAATAAAAAAAAAATGAAATAAAAACAAATCTCTACCAAAACAGAAGTTCACATATAAAAATATTGTAGTATGGGGGGGTTCCTTCACTTCTCCACCCTCCTGAGGGTTTCTGCTTTCAATGAACTCCATCATCGTCATCGTCATTTTGCTGAAATCGGCGGAAAACCGATCGCCAAAAAAAGGCTAAAAAACAATCCAAGAAAATCCAAAAATCACGCGTCCACCGTTTGGGCCATGAATGACCACGGAAAAGCCATGCACTTAAGGAGTGACTGCTTTTTCAAACGTAATATACATAGTAACCTGATTAAGTATTACTAATAATGATTTTCTTCATAACGAATAAAATATAAGAATCTTGATTCTATAATATTTTCATCCGAGTCCCAAAGCTAAAGTTTCTGGGAATTTTTCAAAAATGTGATAGGTCATCAAATTTTTGTTCGAGATAGATTGCAGCAACTGAGTAGGGAATTCTTTTTCAAAAGCTACATTACTTGGTAATCTAAAAATAATAAATATAGAAATCTTTTTCTAAGAAACCTAGGCTTAACATTTTTTAAATTATTTTGTTCTGAAAGTATACCTATAAATTCAAGACCCTGTTTTTTATATAAAATTCATATAGATATCATATTTGAAAAGGATTTGAATTACCTCCCAGTACATATAATAAGATACTTTTTGGATCGTGCTATACCGAAAGATGAAACTCAGATGAGAAATACCTAAGAATGAGTGAGTGATCATCGTATTTGGTTAATGGGTAAACTAAAACACGTTTTTTGGATTGCATTTCTATAAATAGCTTATCTTCCCATAGATTTTTGTAGCTAACTCAGCTTGTTTCCCTTTTTATTTGTTTTAGTTTTGTTAACACGACAACGATAAGAAAATAAATAAAAGAAAAAAAATGTGGTACTGACTTTGCGAATCCCGTTTCCCGTAAATACCTAGAATCTCAGAGTTTCCAGAACTCTGTAAAAAAATAGCTATCTTCAGAAAAAAATCGTGCACTTGATTAAACTTTAAAAAATATTTTGGATTTTTATCGTTCGTTCGTAATTCGATTTGAAAAGGAAGGAGCATATTAAACGATGACAAATGTAATACTTTTTCGAATTCAATAATGATTAATTGCTAATGGATAAAGTTCACAAACAGTGCACGCGCCCCGGTCTGATATTTATTTATCAGTTTTATGCACTAAGAGAAAAGGGGAAAACAAACAAAGAACTAACCTGGCCCAACTATTTCACAGGTGTAACATTTTAGGTATGACAGATATAGAGGAACTGTGGAGTATGTCGTTCCAGAGAGAATCATTTAAGCTATTCCGCTGAAGAATCGGAACAATATTGACAAAGATATGGCCTTCACTGTGGGTCATAATGGCATTTCCATGCATTTTCCAAATTTTGCAGGGGACCCTCTAGAAAATTTGACAAAAAATCTCAAAAAAAAATTGTTTCTAGATTTTGATGCAGATTGATGAAGAATCGATCCACAAATCGTTTAAGCTATTCCGCTGAAAAATCCGAACAATATTGACAAAGATATGGCCTTCACTGTGGGTCATAATGGCATTTCCATGCATTTTCCAAATTTTGCAGGGGACCCTCTAGAAAATTTGACAAAAATTCTCAAAAAAAAATAGTTTCTAGATTTTGATGCAGATTGATGAAGAATCGATCCACAAATCGTTTAAGCTATTCCGCTGAAGAATCGGAACAATATTGACAAAGATATGGCCTTCACTGTGGGTCATAATGACATTTCCATGCATTTTCCAAATTTTGCAGGGGACCCCCAGAAAATTTGACAAAAATTCTCAAAAAAAAATTGTTTCTAGATTTTAATGCAGATTGATGAAGAATCGATCCACAAATCGTTTAAGCTATTCCGCTGAAGAATCGGAACAATATTGAGAAAGATATGGCCTTCACTGTGGGTCATAATGGCATTTCCATGCATTTTCCAAATTTTGCAGGGGACCTCCAGAAAATTTGACAAAAATTCTCAAAAAAAAATTGTTTCTAGATTTTGATGCAGATTGATGAAAAATCGATCCACAAATCGTTTAAGCTATTCCGCTGAAGAATCGGAACAATATTGACAATGATATGGCTTTCACTGTGGGTCATAATGGCATTTCCATGGACTTTCCAAATTTTGCAGGGGACCCTCTAGAAAATTTGACAAAAAATCTCAAAAAAAAAATTGTTTCTAGATTTTGATGCAGATTGATGAAGAATCGATCCACAAATCGTTTTAGCTATTCCGGTGAAGAATCGGATGAATATTGGCAAATATATGGCCTTCACTGTGGGTCATAATGGCATTTCCATGTACTTTCCAAATTTTGCAGGGGACCCTCTAGAAAATTTGACAAAAAATCTAAAAAAAAAACTGTTTCTAGATTTTGATGCAGATTGACGAATCGATCTACAAATCATTTAAGGTATTCCGCTGAAGAATCGGAAGAATATTCGCAAAGATGTAGATGTCCTTTATGTATTTTAGTCTTTTAAATATGTATCAGAAAGGGTTTTGTGTTATTGTTTAATTCTTATTGAAAATTCCTCCGTTAATAAACTACAAATTTTTTCCTTGTATATTGTATCTGTAGAATACATTCTACGAATCCGTAGCAAGTTTCCCCACCAAATTCGTTAAAGCTTGCGGCTTATACTGTGGTACGAAATGGTCTCACAGTAATCGAAAGCTTTTAATTGAAAAAATTTATTATTTTTCTTCTTAATTAACCAATGATTAAAACTAAATAAGTAATAAAAGAATAAAAATACATACTTATTCAATAATCTTTAAGTTTATTTTAAACTTTTTAAATAAAATGTTTCACATGTGAAAACAGGATATATTAAGTTCGACACCATTTTTGGGAGAGAGTCGTTCGTTTTGTTTGGGGCTCGGCTGAAGCTCCCCATGTAGAATGTATGTAAAGATACATCGGGTGGAGCCGAAGTATCGGCACTCTCAGACGGTTAGTTGTGTTTTGGTTTTGTGTTTTTTGTTTGTGTTAAATTTCGGGCAGCGCGGACGTGTTTTTTGGCTCCGTCTCCGTTAAATTGTGGATTTCAACACATTTCGCGTGCGCCTAAAATATAAAATAAATATAATATTATTTTATCAACTTTTAACTAAAAAGTGCACAAGGGCTTATACCTGTAAATCGCGAAAAAAAGTGCCGCGTGTTATGTGAGTGGGGAAAAGGTAAAATTCAAGAAAAAAATACCAGAGGCTGAGAAAGAGCGTGTGATGCTGCAGAAACAAGAACCCGAATTCGCACAAAATCTCGCCGGACATTAAATCAATTGCAAAAAAAAAAACAAAAAAAAAAGAGCAGCAACAACAAATGTTTGAGTGTAGCGTTTTTTTTTCTACATTATTACTTCATAGGGGAGCTCTCGTGCTCTTCGGATTTTGGCTCTCTTGGGGGAGGATTGTCAGCAAAGCTCCGCTTTTGCCGCCTTGGCCCTGTCCCCCACTATCCCTGCTATCTCACCCACAGCTCTCTCGCAGAGGTAATTAAATGTGTTTTATTTTATTAACCTGACAAATAGGTAAATCGCAACGTGCGTGTGTGCGTGTGTGTGCCGCAGCCGAGCGCCAATGAATCAAAAATTTTAGAACGCAAACAAATTATTGAATAACATGGGAAAGCAAGGAGAGCCAGGTGCTCACTCGTTCTCGCTCTCAATCTCGCTCTCTCGTTTGCGCTTGTTATTTTTATCAGTGGATCAGCTCAGCTGACTGGGGGCTCTCTTGCTCTGTCCTGCTCCGCCGAGCTTTGAGATGCCGTAATCTCAGAAATTGACTCCCCGAGGGGGCCGAACGGGTGGGTGGTTGTCTTGCTCAAGTGGGTGGCTGGGGGGGAGGCTCAATCGATCGGTGGCAGTGATCTCACTGCTTGGGTTACAAACTTAGCTAATCAGCTCCACTAAGTCGCACTCTTATCTGGCCGAGATCAGGGGTTGAGAGGGGGCAGCCGAAGGTCTCAGAGGGATAGGGTATTAAGTCCCCGGACAGCAGCTATTTCTAAAAACTCTTTTCTTTTATTTAGAAATATGGCTTTTGACGTCAATTTTTGGGAAATTCTGTAATTTTTATTGATTTTGATAAAGAAATTAAGGCCAAAATATTTTAGTTCTTACGTAAATTCTGGTTAAAGTTAAATAAAATCAAGAAAGGAAAGCTAACTAAGCCGACTAAGCCGAAGTTAATATAGTCTTGCAGGTGTAAAAACAATTTATTGAAATACAATATTTAAAAAAAGTCAAAAGCTTCTATCTTTTAAAATACAAAATTTGGTATTTTTACCTAACACTATTTCCGATCGTGTCAGCTAAAGGATATAGTTGGTCGATCCTTAAGAGTTACATATATAGTTAATGAGGTGTTTAATGATTGGGACCTATTTTTACAAGCTCTGTTCTTAACGTTTTTTAAAGTCCTACCTGAAATTTTATGTATGTAGTGGGACTATAGTAGGTCTTTGGCTTGTATCTCGTAAAGTACTACCCCTTTTTGAATAAAACTTTTAGACCATATATTTTAGAGTTTTTCCGTCTTTAGTTAAAGAGTCTATTTTAAAACATAGAATAATAAAATGTATTAGTATTTCAAATAATATTTGAAATATATCCAAAAATAATTCCAATTGAGCCTCACCCACGTTAGTCAATAAATATTAATTGTTTAGAAGCTATATTCATTATTTTTAGATCGTCTAACTAACAAACTATGGAAAGCAAATTAAAAAAAAAATTATGCCACTTGAGCCTAATCAATATTTATTGTCCGAAGCCCAAACTTGCCACCAACTTGAACTGAAGTTAACACACGCACTTGCTCTCTGGGGCCCTGCCCTGTCTCGGCCATATGCTTGGCATTCTCTCCCATAATTCTGTCATTATTTGGCTGCCTTTTCCACTTCAATTGCCCTACTCCCCGACACCACCTCCTCCTCCCAGCCACTTGCCACCCTCTATATATAAGAACAACCAAAACAACACGTTGTAAATTATTTTTGTGGGCCGCACCCAGGCGCCATTAAAAAAAAAAGGCCAACGAAGTATTTTTTGGTGGGGTGACAGGGAGAGGGGGGGTGGGGCACCGGCAAGGTGTAGCGAGTGTGCGGTGAATAGAAGTGAATAAAAGTGGCAGCATATATCGTACATAACTTTAATTACAATAACCGCGCGTCATATCGAGGGAGACACAGGCCCCCCCAGCACCCGATATCTGTTTGCCACGCGCAGCTTGCCACCACTCCCCCTCTTAGCCGGCAAACGAATCAATCCCTTTGGCCTCAACCTTTCACCTGCCCACTCAGAGACCAGTGCTCTATAAATAAATCTCATTAATAAATTAAACGCTTTAGCTGAAGGAATTTCCTTCTCCAGGCATCCCACCCATCAGACCCCCTGTTTTTGGAATAATTTTTATCGAGAGACGCTCGTGCGAACAGACAGCTAGAGACCCGAGAATACTATACCATAGACCGTAGCCGATCCGTTGATATAGCACAACGTCATCATAGCTTTATAAATAAATCAGATGCGAAATGTATTCTGAAGAGTTCTTATTCGAATTATTGCATTTGGCAACCAGAGGTTTTTAAGAAATATATCTAAGAAATTTAATAATAGTGTGGGTTCTCCTTTTAAAAAGTTAGTTTCTTTTATTTCAGTCTAAATTTTATTATTAAATAGCTTCACAAAAAACAAAAAAAAAACACAAATAGAAAGAAAAAGCCACCCAACCACAGCAAAAGGCTGATAAATAGCCACGATTATTAGGGAATTATCATGGAAATGTTTGTCTTGTGAGGGGCTTATGTATGTAAATGTCTTAAACAAGTGGAACATGAATACCAAAACTGTAATATTGTGGAAACTCTTTTGATATCCTGACCCAAAATGGAAAACTTTTACTCTATTGGTTATGATATAGTTAGTGTTTTATGTGGTTTAGCTGCTGGTATTTTGGTTTTTTTGGTAAAATCTTCCATTTAGTTGACCTTTTTGTAAACAAACTAGAAAAACACCTGTAGAAAAGATACTTCAAAGGAAAAACCACTGAAAGCTGAAAGCAGAATGATTCCCAAAAAGTCATAAAATTGTTATTGACTTTATAAACTTGGCTATTGATAAATATGTCTTGAGTACTGTACCGAGATTCAAGAGTGCTTATCTTACATTTTATAAAGTATTTTAAGGCTCACCTAAGGCTTTAATTAATGAAATGCATTTACTTATCCTTTGAGCTTAAAACATCTCAACGCTTAAAGAAAAAGTTGTATCCCCCAGATACTCATATTCTGGCAAAAGTTTTCATTTATTACTTGGAATTCAGAAGCAAAGAATACTCATGTTTATTATGGTTTGGCTTTCCGGAAAGTTTCATTTAGTTACATTCGTCTGCGAACTCATGACCTTTGTAAACAAAGAGCCAGATAAGACACCTTAAAATCCCCACTTCAAAGGCGCGCCACCACCACCCACTACTCGCCACCCACAAAAAGCAACAAGAACCCACCCACCCACGCACAGTGGGTTACAGGCTCCTCCCTCCCGAATTCCCACCGGATGTTAATGTTTTATTTGGATTCGAAAATTTTGTTCTCGCTGTTTTTAATGCACGCTGATTTGTTTGGAAAAAAATAAACAATTTGGAAATTTATTTAGTCGGGGATCTGGGGATCCAGGGATCGCTTCTGCCTCCAAATGGAATGGAAAGGAATGCGATGATCCCATGTGAGGCTGGCTGGCTGGCTGCTCTTCCCACATTTTATGGCCAATAAATATGCAATGAATATGGCTAGTTGCCATAAGTTGGATGAGTTTATGGCTGCTTATCGATCTTTTTTTTTTTTCTTGGGTATAGTAGTCCCCTCTCTCTGGGTATCCCCTTTTTTTCTAAGAGGATTCTTCAATTTATTTCAATGTTTGATGACCCCGTTTGCCACGTGACTCAGGGAGACGGTACGGAGGAGCACCCTCCTCCCTTTTGTGGACCGAACATTTGCATATCTTTTGTAGTCCATCCGAGTGACCTTGAGGACGCTGAGCCGCAATCAATCAAGCGTACAAAAGGAGTGGGGCGGGACGGGGTGATATAGCAGATAGAGCATCTTGCAACTTTCGCCTTTGTGGAGACAACAAACGAACTGTATCTCACGGATACACGGCTATACAGAAACATTTGTCTCACCTTGTCAATCACTTTCGTTGGGAAAGTGAAAACGGGAGAAGGGTCTGGTGGTGGAATGTGGAACACCACCGAAATATGTGGGTCAGATTCCGCATTTTTTCCGCATATTGGATGTCATAATTTCCTATATAGCCCCATGGCCCTGACATATATATTTTTCTGACCGATCTCCGATTTCGGATTTTCAATTTTCAAATTAAATTTTTGTATTTTTGTACCTCTTAAAAAAAAATCTAAATAGTATATAAGTTTATTTTAAAAGTTGCCAAAAACGATAAAATGTATAAGAACTTGGTTAGTAGTTTGTGAAATATATTAAACGACATTTATTAGTTTACTGTTAAATTTAAAACTGTCAAATTTTATTAAGCAATTATGTAAATGTTAAAAAAAATGACTAAACCCCACATTTAAGGCAAATATCACGTTATAATAGATATGATGGGATTGGGTATTGGGCCAACACTAGGGTATTGGTATGGCCAGAACCCGGTATCTAGGCGTCCCTTCCTGTTTTCGATTGTTGCTTTTGTTCCTCTATATAATTTTTTTTTTTTTTATTTTTTTTTTGTGGCACATGCGCGCGTTTGAATCCGGAGTCCGGACAATTTGACGCTGTACTCACGTACGGCGTATGGCTGGCAGGGCATTAAAAATAAATAAAAATATATAAAAATTCTTGGCTGCATTGGAAGCCGAAATTCAAATTCAAATCAAGGCAAAAATATAGACACAAGTACATACATTAAAAAACATCACCCAAATTGGCAATTTTAATTTGATTTTCTGACCGTTTTAGATGCTGATTAGGCGAAAGTACCCAATTTCTAAAGCTTCTTCTTCTGCCAGAAACTATTCAGCAACTATTATCAATGGGGGCTGGCCGAGAGGGCTACCTATGGCTAGGGGGGGAGCTGCTGGGGTTGAACTCTACTTTGTGTTTTTGTTGGGCTCGGTTGGCTTGTTTATTTGAAAATTATTCCCCCGCTAACCTCCTGGGCGAGGGGGTGCCGCTTTCCTCTTATCAAAACATGAACATTTCGCTTCGAATGCTTTTTCCTCAAAACAAAAACAATACTTGTCCAGTCCAGAGAGAAAGCTTTTCTCCCAAAGAGAGAGCCAGCGAGAGGAAGAGAGTGAGAGAGAGTCCGGACGGAGGATGAGCTCTGGCACGGAAGTGTGTAACATGGCAAAAGCTCTTGTATAACATTTTCCGTATAGCGTTCCGGGGGAGGGATACGTTTTGCACGCCCATGGGCGGCATTAAAATCAGGGGAAGGGTTAAGGCTTATAAAAGGGGGATTATAAA